ACCGTAAATAGATAGTAAAAAATACATAAATTGTCAAAAAAGTAAAGAGAATATTCCAGTACATACTTAATATAAAATAAATATTAGATACTTACGTACAAAACCTATTTTAAAATATAATGTCTCACGAAAGTTATAATAAAAATATTTTAAAATGTTTCAAAGAGTAGATACGCTAGGTCCTTGCTAAACCATTATTAGGTTTTTGCCATGTATTTCTTTCTTTGCTACTTTTATTTTCTATTAAAAACCAAACAGGTTTAGCAAAGTCATTAAAATTGTTTTAATTAATTTGCAAGACTATCGTCATCATTATCATCAGCACTAGGCATGATTATGAGCTCGCCGCTGAGCTGTACTTTCAACTACCTACCTTGCGGATATCGTCACTCCACCTGGCCTAAGGGCGGCCGATACTCTGCCTGGGTCTCCACTCTAGAAAACGTCCACCCTAACGGTCACCGGTTTTTAGAAAAATATCTTTGGAAAATCCTGTCTATATCTATTTTTTGGCTTTGGAGTTCAATCAATAAAGTTAAATAAAGTAGTAATCCCACGGCTTTTGTACCCACGTCTTAACGCCCACTCACGCGCTATCGAATCCACATTACAAGCCAGTCGTGTGCGCCTTCTCAGTCGTGAACAAGACGTCGCGTAAACGGGACGACCCGAAGCGTCCCAGTCTCGCGTCCGTAGAAAATGGTGTTTTATAAATGTGTAAGTGAAATATGTTCTAACTTATACCTTATAGTTACCTTAAATTTAAAATTTTGTATACCGTTGACTTCAATATTATTTTCACGTTTTGAATTATAGTTAGTTACGTTTTCTGATAAACTTGATTGTAAAACGTTTGCTTTTGATAGCCACCGGAAGAATAAATGTAAGTCCAGTCTAATTGTCCTGCACAGAACTCCTACAAATTAATATTATTTTAGGTTGCAATTTAAATTGTTATTTAAAATAAACTCAACATAAATTATACACCCTGTATTGCCGTGAATTAAACATAAAATTAAATAAATAAAGCAGTGTGATAAAATTTTAGTATAATTTTTCTAAGTATAAAAATAAAATTACATACAAAGTTAATCTAATCACAACATAAAATATTCATTATTTTAAATAAAAGCTCTAAATCGGCTTGTAATATTTCAATTGGTAACTAATTACTATAGAGTTTATATAATAATAGATATTAAACTATCCGAGATACCCTTGTTATAATAAAAACTAGCTTTTCACCGCGACTTTGTTCACGTGAAAAAGTGACTTCCTGCAGATTTTTGGTTTTACTTAAATAGTTCCCGATCTCGCGGAACTTTTAAGAATTTCCCGCTCCCGCAGCATTTTCGGGTTAAAAACTGTCCTATGTCTTTTCTCGAGTTTCAACGTATGTCTGTACCAAATTTCACACACATCGGTTCAGTAGTTTAGGAGTGAAGAAAAGACAGAGATATTTTCTCATTTATAATATTAATTTGGATGTGTGTATGTTGTGTTTCCCCCTCGAGAAGACCAAGTTTTTCTCCTATGTCATCGTACTATAACATACATACATCACACCCAGAGCCGGAAAACGATCTATAGATCACATAAAGCGTTGATCTGTGCGATTGAAGCCACGACAAGTTAAGTTATCAACCAAAAGTTATCACTTTTGTGTCTTAAAACCAAAGAAAACAACAAATTTACCTACAAACATACATACAGTGTTGTGTTTCGCTGTGAGAGCGGGGTTATCGGAGGCCCAATCTTTCCTCTTCCCCAATTCCTAAAAATCCAAATCCCTAATCTCTAAAAGGTGGGCAACGCACTCGGTCGCCGTAACCGTAACCCGCAACTCCTCCGTTACGGGTGTCCATTGGCGGCACCGATTGCTTAACATCAGGTCATCCGTCTGCTCGTTTGCATAAGAAAAACATACGTTAATGGACTCATTGGTATCTTTTGAAGAACCGAGAGCGCATTTCCTTGTCAACCAATTCTTTTTAAACTGCAATCTTCAAATCTCTAGCGAATCGTGGAGATTATGACAAAAAATGGAGAGGACCCCCAGAGACTGTTGTAACAGTAGACTTGCAAGTGTTATTAGATAATGATAATAATTGTGATAATTATCTGATTATAAGTGCTCACTGCTGAGGAAAGACCTTTTTTCACATAGAGAAGAAGTCAGCATTTATCACCGCACTTGCTCAAGGCGAAATGGCAATGAAAAACTAATAATTAAGAAATCCTATTTTCATTTTGCCTTCACCGTATGTCAGTGTTATCTAAATAATCTTAGGAAGCACATATAACAAAGGCAAAGTTGTGACCAACTGTGGTTGGTACTCGCTAAGTTTCAGTGTAATTGCTAGTCATTCATACTGTTGGTTTGAATGGCCAATTATTTTTCTACATAAGATACAACCAAAACTTTTGCGCATATTTGATACGCACCAAGGTGTTTTTTTTTTTTTTTTGAGGTTTGAATATTAACATATGAGCTTCTCCAGCTCTTAGTGGCGTAGGTGGGAGTGTCATACTCTTGCTGAAATAAATCCACTTCTTCTCCTGTTCCAGGCAGAGATCGGGGTAGATGATTACGCTTTACAATTGCCCACAATCCTGGCCGGCATAGTGTAACCCTAGCATCAAACTCAGTATCCATGATTGACAGAACAATTTTGGCAAAGCTGGAATAGGCTTGCAAATCTCTTTGAGCAACAAAGGGTTACGTTAACGGTCAGTCTTGACAGTCAAAATCGCCATTGTTTGTGTATGATTGCAGTATTCAGAACTATTCAGACGGTTTATTAATAAAAGAATAAATGTATTTATTAAAAACCAATTGCAATGATGAATACGAATATATTTTTCAACAGGGTAATAACCCTTACCTCGCTTTACAAAATTTTATGTAGAATATGTAATATGTTCTTTTTTACGATCTGCATTCATCAATATAAATCTTTGAAATTAATGATATATAACCTACCACCTAATGTCTGGTTTGTCTGTTGTACCAGTGTAACGAATATGGTTTGAGATACAATGCTAGATAGACATTCTTATTGATTGGACCTTATAACAGATACGTGTTTTTTTATGTAATAGGTCGGCAAACGAGCAAACGGATTGTAAGATTATGGTAAGCAATCAGCTCCGCCCATGGACACCATTTAGGGATTAGGGATTTGGAGACTTAGGGATTGAGGAGGGGTTGGGGGAGGGGAAGGATTGCGCTTCCGGTAACCTCATTCACACGGCCAAACACAACGCTGTGGTCGTTTCACGCCGATTTTCTGTGAGGCTGTAGTATCACTCCGGTTGAGCCGACCCATTCGTGCCAAAGCATGGCTCTCCCACACTTAAAAACATACAGGATATCACAAAGAAAGTAAAGGTAGCTTTAGAAAACAGGACTAAAAGCTAATATATCATTTATTTTGAAGAGGAACCTTTTTTCTGGCATTTTGATCCTATTTCCTAATGTTTTAAATAATCTACTAAACACATGATGAGAATATTGTAAAGTCAATAATACCACCATAACTCAAGCCCGGCCACGGCTAGCATTAAATTCTCAAAACTCTCGTCCGACAAACGTGTAGCGCCATCTACTAGATCACTTGCGTACCAATCAATGCAGTAGTGCAAGCATCAAGCTCTCTTTTCGAAAATACGTGTTTAGTAGGATTTAACCTTCCTATTTAAGCATTTAAGCAGTAGATAAAATGTTTCTATTTCTAGGTAACATCGGAGTTTCTTTTTAAGTGATAACTTACCTTTTAAGTGATAACTAACCTTTTTAAGTGATAACTTAAAAAGGAACAGTATTTCTGATCTCAAATACAAACTAGGTATACTTATACTTAAACAAAATCCATGATAAGACCCAAGATTATTGTACTCGCTTTTTGATTTGTGTTTTAAGTGGCTAAGTTGAATATTATATTTATAAAAGCGTTAAATACAAGACTTAAAATAGTAGTGAATATAAATTTTAGATTCAGATTAATATTTATATTTCTAAAATTCTCTTTGAGGTAACACTTTCTTTTATCCGGTTTTCGAATTCTCCACAGTGTTATTTAAATAATATTTTTAACGTGTCGGATTTTTGAATAACAGTTTAGTATCGACGCGGCGTTTGCATGTGTCATCGCCATGTGTCGTGTTGTTAATTGATATTATTTTTTGGGCATTTTTCAATTAATTTCACTAGTTTTTACGGTATTTTTAAAGACTAACTGTTTTTGTTTACAAAAACTAATACAAACCTCATCTTGAACACATAATCTTGATCACATCAGCCTATACGTTTCCACTGCTAAGGAGAAATCTCTTCTCACACGGAGATTTGATTATTAATCACTGATACGTTTGCTCAAGGCAGATTAGCGATATCAAACTGTTAATTAGAATTTGTAAGTTCTAATAGTTTCCTCCCGATGTTTGCTTTAAGTATTTCGTATGTCAATATACACTTAAAAAGTACATATAACTTTTAAAAAGAGTCACTTCGGTACTAGCCGGGTTTCGAACCGAATGCGAAGCGCCTTAAACTCCGAACGACGGCTGTTACTCAATTAATCTTTAATGAAATCACTCAACTATTAACCAAAAAAAAATAACATAGGGGTAGGTAAATCTAGAAATATATTTCTCGACTAACATCTAACAAACAAAATTCAAAAATTAAAGACTTCAATCAAGTATAAAAATAAGCATAAATATACATTATTAAAATATATAAATACATTTAATTACCCGGATGACTTTGCAATTTTTATATATTAAAATAAGTTAGCGTTGCTACGCGACGGACAAATGCTGAATTAATTAAAATTTAAAATAATGAAGAAAACGAGGATTTTACATTTTGTTTTTTTATCCAAAAAACATGACGTCACAATTCACTAATTCAATGGAATTCGTGTACAAGAACTGTTTTATGATTGCTTTTTACTGTGCTGGTGGTGAATGGACTCCAACTAATGCTTTGTTCCCAGGAACATGTGGAATGTCTGGCGCACAGTCTTGGAGGAGAATGAGAAGCTGGCTCGCGCTCGTCTGGCTGCCGTCGAGGTATTCCAGCAGCAGATCGCCGACGAAGCCAAATTCCTTCGGCAACATAAGCTGAACGTCGCCAAAAAGGTAGGGATCTTATTTGTCATTTTGTTACGGAATATGTGTAAGCTATGAATATTTTTTTCTAATTTATTTTCAACTAGCGGCCCGCCCCTGCTTCGCACGGGTCCGACTATCTCGCTGTCAAAGGGTCACTTTTTCCTAATCTTCCTCTCTAGTTTTCTATTATTTTCTTTGATAAGAACCTTCTCCCGGCAATAACAAACACAATAAAAAAAGAATTAGCAAAATTGGTCCAGGAGTTGTTGAGTTATGCGCTTACCAACACATTTTGCGATCCATTTTTATATATAAGATAATAAATTATAAACAAATGAATTATTAATGACAATTTTAAATTAAATTTGAAAAATTTGAATTCACCCATCATTATTGGCACTTATGGATTTTATATTATTTTGATTTCTATACATATATCTTAGCACCCCCATACCCGGAACCACATTCTATACATTTTACAAATAGTTGTTCCTTGAGGGATCCAAACCCGAGAAGCGATGCGCAGCAGTCGGTTGCCCAGCCACTGCACTAGCCATGACAACTTATAAATGTACTTACACATATTCTGTAACTTTCTTTATATTATATTCCATATTGAAATGTGTAGGCAGTTTTGACCTAAACGGAATATTTTTAAAATAATTGTTTGAAAAAGAAACATTGGTACTCCAATGAAAACTCCAATAATATACTTATTACGATAATCAAATTATTCTTAGAGCATGATAATAAAATTTACTATTAACAAAAATGATCGAATTAATTTTATCTATAGGTAAACAGGCACAGAGTTAAAATTTGCTGAAGATCCAACCTCTTCTAACTTGGACGCCTTACTTCTAGAAATATTCAAAATATTGTAGCAGTAATACGAACTAGGTCAATATTTAGTATGGACAGGGCTTGCATCTCGCTTAAGACTCCTCTGGTGTGGCCTCCGTGCATTGTCCAGCGGCGGCCCTTATTGATATTCATTATCCAATCTCTATCCGTTCATCCCTTTGATTAGGTTTTACCCTCAGTGTGTGATATGATGAAATAAAACTTACACATGGCCACATAAAGTCTGTCTTTGAAAGTGCATCCTCTTATTATTTTCCATTTAAAAACCCAAGTGTATTTCAAGGTCAGGTCATTCCTATTGCTAAAACCTATACTATATACTTATACTAAATTACAAAACAATCGATTGATCGACCGATTAATGGCTGGATTCGCTTTTACACTATTCGGTTCTGTATTATAAAAAAGTAGGGTACCCGACTCTGGAATTTTTGACCTAGAATTTTTATATATTCATTTTTGAGTGGATCAATTGATCTTACGCTAGTCACTACATCCAAGAAGATGAAGATAGAAGGCAATGCATGGATATGGGGGTACTTGGAATGTCGCCTACCCGGATTATCCGCGCAGAAGACATTTCAACTATCCCTATATACCATTACCATCGAAGACAGCAACAAGAAAACTGAAGAAAAATGAAGATCATATTCATGCAAGTATTTTTTGGTATTGTAATGTTCAGGTTTTATACTGCTAGTATAAATGATGTGTGAAAGCCATACAGTTTTCACTAGATATAATATGTATCACAACATATGTGAAAAGACCCTTGCACTAGTGCAATATGGCACGATGTTATTAACATGTATGTAGCAGGTACCTACCAACCCGGTCAATGTTATTACCATGTGTATATACTATATGTATGTATCCGAGTCGTATTCGGAATTTTGAATTTCGAAAATTGATCATTTAAATAATAACAACCTATTCAGTATGGTGATTCAAATCGAAACAGAACTGTTGCATGGTAACTTTAGCTAAATGTACGAACTGTCGAATAATTTATTTGTTTTAAGAGTTATTATAAAATTCATCGTGTTTCAGTGTTTTGAAATTATCTAGATATTCAAGCCCAAAGATGAAGACTCTTTCAGCAAGAGGTTAAGAGGGTGTCACAAAGCCTTCTGGCTTGTTTTGTTTGATGACAACAAGTTAGGAGGCTTGTGTCCACCCTCTGCACCATTCATGTGCTGCTGCCCCAGTCTATTTATATGTGTAAACTGACTGAACTTCATAACCAATATAATTCTCGGAAATCGTCAGGGATGGAACAAGACGTACATTGTGATAACGCCGCGTGTTTTTTTTCATGGAAATACCTTGCACATGTTACCTTCTTTTAATGCTAAGTCCTGTATTAAAACAAATATGTTTAATTACTTGTACCTTGTTTTTGTTTGTATAATATGTATTCGCCACTTCTTCAGCTCCAGCAACCAATGGTTGGGTTGCTTTCACAACGCCCTTGTCTACGTAATGTTTAAAAATTACGTGCACGAGGGCTTGTACGAGTACCTTAACCACAGTCATCGAAGACTCTTCAAGAAGACAACAGGACTATTAAACTAAAGGACGATTGGTCTAATTTGTGTTATAAGTATTGTCATATCATGTATCAGAAGATTTGAAACAGAAATTGTTAACGCTATCAAGGGTTGGGGGTTCTTTCACAACTGCTTCCGGCAGCAATTTTAATTAATAACTGACGGTTCGGTTGTGCTGAACGCCCTGTACCACAATCATCGAACACTGAAGAAAAGATACTAAAAACTATATTTTTTTATTCGATTACTTTTGTTTTCTAACATTTATGTATAATAAATGAATTATTCGAGAGACAGTTGAATGACTCTTATAACTAGTAATTCCTGATAAATTAAATGGTCAGAAACTTCTTATAAGCTTGATTTCGGTAAAGGTATTTTGTTTAATAATCTGTCTTATTTAATTACTATTAGATTATGAAGATGTTGTTTCAAACTAATTTAAGGCAAAGCAAGATTACGTGGGATTCCATGGTTGAGTCGTTCTTAAAGTATGGCCAATTCATACTTTATTTACGGCTGACCTATTGAATTCACTTTGCAACATGCTGCGATCCCGAAGCTGCACTGCGCCACCAAAGACTGGGCCATGCGGCCCGCTTATTGCTTCTGTCTTTTATTTTAAAACAAAATGACACCAGTAATAATGGTTCGCATGGTACCACATTCATCGAAGAAAGAAGACCCATCCTTCAAGAGTTGTAATTTTGAGGTGCTTTAAAAAAAGAAAAGGGATTTCCATGTCAGCATCGATGTTTTGGAACATTGATGCTTACAGCGAATACCCGGTTCAATACACTTTAAGACGAAAATGGATAAGGACGAAACGAAAAATAGTAACATTGTTATCCCTTTTTTCTCTACGCATTCCGAGTATGACTACGATGCTACGAGTACGTGCTACGCCGTAGCGAGTCGTAGTACACTTACACTTCGTCTAATTATCTGTACTATGTGAATAATTAATATGCTATTGATTCTATTCATCTATTATTAGAGTAAAACTATACATTTTCTTGTAAATCGATGTTCATGATCTTTACGATATATTATATTATTAATATATTTTTAAATCCATTGTGTAACTTATTTTATGAAGAAACATTTGTTCAGAGAGAAAAACATTCTCTCTTTTATTTCACTTTCGTAGTATGACTACGTTTGACTACGCCGTAGGCAAATACATATGTATTAGTTTGTTTTTATCGTGTATCTCATATGTGTTATTAAAAATTTGTTGTATTAATTATAATAATGTTATTTGGCATTTTTTGTTTTTTGTAGAGTACACATGTTTCCATTTAGACTTCTTAGGATTATTTTTTTTAATATTGTTTGTGGTTCAATTTAGCACTGTTTCTAAAACTTGTAGCATATTTACTGCAACTGCCTCTTGTATATAATACTCAAAAACGTAAATTGTAACCCTCAGTTTCTCATATTATAATTAATGTTATCAGTTGAAATTAAAATTTATTTATTGAATTAGCAGTTCTTATTAGAAAGAATACGAAACAAACAATGGATAAAAATTATAATATATGTTTCCCTTTTTTTACTGTTTATAGCACAACTCTTGTCATTTACGACGATTCTCCCATTGTCTTTTTTCTCTTCAACCATAAAAAAGCCAAAACAAAGAAAAGGCACTCTAAGGCACTCTTTTTCATAAACATGGAACTCAGAGTTCAGTACACTTTTATACTCTAACACAAGATGGAATCCTCTACAGACTTTTATTTAAATAAGCAACAGTTAAAGTCGATACATATTAATAACTTTTTATACTTTCGCGTTTCATGTTAACAACATATTATTAAAAGGGTATAAACGCGAAAAGTAACTAATACCGTGGAAGGGTTAACGTTTCGACCTGGTTGTACAGGTCGTGGTCGCAAGCAGACTCTATCTATTAATATTAATAGTATACAAAAATTAAGCAAAGACAATATCTAAGGAGTATTCAATATAAAATATTAGAGGGTAAACATTGGGTGATGAAATAAAACTCTCGCAATAGTGAGCTTACAGAATAATGTTCTCGCATTATTAAATTAAATATAATTAATAATTAACCAACACCATTTTTAAAATAAAACATTAACATGTTTGCATTTACCGTACGAACATGATTTTATAAACTCCCTATCGCTATTTTAATATAATAGCATAAATAATTTATTTAATAAATAGAATATAAATACATGTTACAACGTTTTCTCATACCTTTTCTTAGGCCATGATTTTGATGTTGAAGAAATCGAAATAGTTTAATTTTAATTTACATCTTCTTTCGCTGTCGTCCAAATCGTTGTCAAGCAGGGCTTCTCGCTGATGATGCTGACTTCCATAAATCTTTCTTAAAGCGTTTTGGATATCGCAGGTGCATTTAATTAATATGTGCATTGTGCATCTCTACTTTGGTCTGATGTTTGCACATCTTACTTCTCCTGCCTTCGCTCTTTGGTATGGCACCGACATTTGCAGGTGAACTTTCTGACCAAAACTCTGATAATTTTTTCGTAAGTTTTCAATCCTCTTCGGAAAACTATTTTGTAATGGACTATGGTGTTTAAGCCGTTGTGGTTGCTCATGATTTCTTTTTTAAGATATATGTTTTTTATTAAATCTCGGTGACACGTCCGCCCAGAGCTTGAAGACGTTTGTAACTGCGGTTTCATTCTCCACCCTGTAATTACGCTGGCTAATAAAATACGTATCAGTGACACGTGTCATTTTCACACGGCCACGGTAAGGCCAAGGTTCCACTAACTATTGTGCAATATCTCACTACAATTTCTTTTGTAATACAAGAATAAAGATCGCGAAATTCGAAATAAATGTGCTAATTACTCCACGCTGATGAAAGTCAATTATAATAAATTGTATACCTTTGTAATAGCGTTTGTCAAAACTGCCTATGAAATAGCCTTTTAATTTTTTTTTTTTTTTTGTATAATTCGAATTTTGAATTAACATAAAGTTACAGAAAGAACTCTACGTCTACGTTCATATAGAACCTCATCCAAATCGGTCCTGACCTTTTATACTTTTCTACTAACTTAAAGTCAAGGTGAAATCAAATGCGGTCCAAATTTTTGTTTTAACACCCCGCCAAAGAACTGGGCGTAAAGTAACATATACACAGCCTTTAAGCTCTTTTCTTTCTCGGGTTGTTTTAACGAAGAACTACAAAACGAAGAAGAAGTCATTCATCATTCCATAATATTAATATCTTCTTTTCACTAATTACATTGTTGTGCCACGTATTAGTAATTATTATCCCCTCTCATTACTGAGCATTTCTAAAAACAAACGAATGAGTAAGTTAAGTTTTAGATGTTTCAGTCTGATGACAGTGTCAATTTTCTCTTATTGAACTACAACTCGACATCAAAAACCTTCACGCCCAAATACGCCACTCAACTAGCCTGCAAAATCGAGTAGCCCTTTTATATATATGGGCGTTGGGCATCACTTCATCTTCCACATACTAACTCGTTCTTTTTTTGTTTCAGTGCACCGACACCCTCGCACAGGCCCACAAGGAATTGCAGACCACTGTTCTCGACGTGGACAAAACAAAGAAGCTTTACTTCGACGAAGAGCATACCGCTCACGATGTCCGTGATAAGGCTAAGGACATCGAGGAAAAGTAATTAATTATGTTAAGCCATATTTATATTATATATTGCTTACCGTCATTAGTAAGTTGTGTTTTGTACTGTTGGACTTAGACTCGATTTTTGCACATCAAAATATTGCCATTCCATCTAGCTAAAGAATGCTCTACACTACTAAGTTTGCCTAGGCGTGGTCCACGAACACCTCTTCACCAAAGTCCATACGTTTGATAAGCCTTTTGAGTCTACATAGAACGAAACAAACTCATTAGTTATTGTAATATAATAAAACATTCATTTAGTTTCATACAACAATTTCGAAATCTGTATACTCTGATCGTGGAGCTCTGAACATAGCTTGTAAACTTTAATAATTCCGTAATATCCTTAATGTATAAGCCTACGCTACATTGTAGTCCCGTCGAAATGCAATATCAGGATACTCAACTGGAAGTATTCCATAAATACGCTCGATTTATATCCAAACGCCGACCTATTTCATTCGAAAAGTTTGTGATTCCCGACGATTCGGTGAAATATCGAATAAATTTAAAATGTATTCCATTTTTTCTGATATAGGAGCATAAGACTATATCTGTCGAAATTCGAAACAATAGGTGGGCAATAAATATTTCTCTTTTCACATTAGAGCTGACGATGTTCTAGTGAATTTGTGGAACCCAATTCAATAGTACTTTTTGCATTTTACTTACTTTGTGACATTGACTCATTCAACCGTTTTAATGTCAAGGTTAAATGACCATGCAAATGATTTTCAATCGTCGGGTCACATGAGGCCTGTTATTACTATAAATCAAGTTTCAAAGGAAAGCGTCGACAATATCAAACTTGACAATGACTGTCATTTAGCTGGCAAGTTTTCTGCCATCACACTTCCATAGATTATAAGAACACACTCTATTTATTATTCATCAAAGCTTGTGTCAACTTCAAGTTTGGCTTTTGTGTTCCAAATATAAAACAAAATAATCGAAAATACTAACTGTTTCTTATGCACAAACATAGATATGGAAAAGGGGAAAATTTCGGTGGCCACGTTGCCCAGGAGATACGATCTTTCGATTCTAGTCTAGGAAACTAGGTTGAAAATGATATTGATTCTCATGAGTGACCTTCCCGTGACGCCAGTGCAGTTTGGCCCGTCGCCAAAATACGCACACAAATGCTACGGACACCAGACACAGCTTGTTTAAACAAAGTATGTACTCACGGGAGAACATGACTTATGAAAACCACAACATCGATGCAGTGTTACGTAAAATGTCAGGGAATAACATAGTTGACAAATTATTTGATTGAGAACATACCTTCTAAAGGAACCTAGATTTGGGGGGAAAGGCCTAGGAAGTTTGCGAATCATTAGCATCGGTTAGCACCTTTAGTGGAAATATGGAGTATATACCATACCTTCAGAGAAATTCCTCTGCTGCTGAATAAAGCAAATTCATAGAATAACAGACATAGAAATGGGTTAAAAAGCTTCTCACAAGTCATACAACATTTTTATTAAAATTACATGTGTTTTTATCTATACAACTTATTAATGAGAACTTCACTCTTTTCCAAAAGGCTCAAAAAGAAGAAGGGTTCCTTCTTTCAATCCATTACGTCGCTGCAAAAGAACAGCGCTAAGGTATCTTCTCGTCGTGACCAGCTGGAGGAGAAATCTACAGGAGCCAGGAATGACTATCTGCTCAGTATCGCTGCTGCTAATGCCCACCAGGTAAGCATCAAAATTGAAGACTTTTTTACAAATCGAATTTATTTATGATAAGTTTTCTTCTCTCTCGCAATTCTATAACAAATCTTCTTTCTTTTTCCGCAGAATCGCTATTTCCTGGTGGAGCTGCAGAATTGTATGCTGAGCATGGAAGCTGCTGTGTATGAGAAGGTGTCCGAATTCCTGACCTTCATGGGTCGTACGGAGTTGCTTACCTGTTCTGCTACCCAACATTCCTTCGGGAAGATCCGCGACCAAGCACAGCAACTGACTCGGGACTACAACCTGCAATGCCTATACTTGTACTACCCTGTGCTGAAGCAGCACATTCAGGTACAATCATATTTTAATAAAGCAAGCACATTAGGGCTAATTCTCGTTTTGGTAACAGTCGACCTCATTATCTCTATGTTATATACACAGACAGGTTAGGTTAACCTGACTTAATTTACTACAATCATTAAATCCACGTTTAATTTCTAAATTAAATTCACAAATCTGAATCCATTTGAGTCAAAGTAGGTACTGGTAATTAGTTAGAGTACTTATACTTTTTTTTTGAGGGGATAATATTATCGAATGCGTCTTCTGGCCCTAGATTGGGCCCGAGGGAGTGTCAGTCACTTACTGACCAAAAACCACCCCGTTACTTCTCCTAATCCAAGCTGGGGCCTGGCCAAACTCAGCTGTGTTAGGGACTTCCTACATCTACTGTATCTTTCATCTGTTTGCTCTTGTCAATCTTAATATATTGGATGTGCCAATTGACGGTAAAAAATAAGGAATATACTGCAAAACGAACGTATTTTACAAAATGTGACCGTGGGAAGGTGATAAAAGGTTACCACATGTCTCATTTATATTTATGCACCACACTGCACCAAATGTACGGCAATAGACCAGAAAATAATATTATTGTTGATTTTTGACAGTACGAGTTCGAGCCTTGTGACAACGACCCAATTGACAGCGTCACCATTGAGCATGAGTCGGTGGCCCAAACATTGGGGCAGGAAGCCCGTCGATGGGCAACTCGTGTGCTGCGCGAGACATCTCTGGTCCGCGAAGCTACCCGCAAGATGAACGTCTACCAAGCCATGCGTGATGCTGGACAGAAGGTGAGTTACTGAACATTTTTCAAAGCAAATGCTTGACCAAAACATATGTCACCAGTTTGTGTGTAGTGCATTTTGATTCTTTATAATCTGACTGAACATTATAGCAATTTTGTTGTGCAGACTAGCTCGTCCGTTTGTACATCTAAGAGTATTCAAGAAATTGCAAATACAAAATTCAGAATAAACTAGAATCGTGTAACTTCGAAACTTGAATTTAAATAATTAATTAAACTGACGTGATAATACAGGGTTGCAAGACGACCACTGTAGTTATTGATTAACTGGCTCCTACCACTGTAATTATGGGCGACAGATATTCCTTTGAATTCTAAAATGAAATAGTGTTTTCATTACTAACCAAAGTGGAATTTAAATCAGGAATTTTAATACCGACAAGAGACTTAAGTAGACTTTTAGTGTTATGGATGTCACTGTCGCGCCGAATGCTTACCATCAGCGTATTTGCCGAAACATCCTATATATAAAAAATGTTTACATTCCAAAAACCAACTAAATAATGTTACGAAAAATCTGTATGTGCAACTGATTGAAAATGGAGCTTCTTGCTCGTGCTTTTCCATCGCAGTCACCGATAGACTAATACTTAATTTTTAAGCTTTGTTTGTCGTTCGAAAGTGCATGTAAGGGTCTAATAATTAAGATAATTAATTTTGACTTTTGACTTTGGAACATCAAGAAACAAGAAAAGTTAATATCTTTTTATTTTTAACGTAACAATATATATGTATAGTACAATTACTTATATTAATATCATTCTCAAATTATAATCGAGACAGCCCTAGAATGAGGTCTGCAAAATTTATTTGCTGATCGGACTTACGTAATGATAACTTTGAACCACTTCAGCTGACTGGGCACAGGCTTGAGACGAAAATCGCAAATACAGGGTGGTCTCTGTATATTGTAATCATTCCTCCTTAACTTTTTTTAAATACGATTTTTACAAAATCTTTTAGATGCATAACTTCTTTTTAGATTTATGAAAAAAATCGGTTGTATTTTATTTCTTAGTTGATAATTCACTTTTTCTTTTTTGGGAATTACTTTATTTTAAATGTGACTCGTTACCCTTCTTGTTATTTTTAGAAATTCAATAAATATGAAAAAAAAATAGATTTCTTCTGCGCCATAATCATCGTCATCATCCGCCTATAAGTGATCCCTCTTCTGAGCAAAGGCCTCTTTTAACACTGAGAAGTTTTGAGCAATAATCAACAACACGCTAGCACGACGGATTGGCGATTTCAAGCTTCCAATTAAAAATTATAAGTTCAGCTTATTCGCTATTATAATAATATTATATCCATCACATTTTAAACTTTATATAATAAAATTGTCTCTATATAAAAAGAACGATACGCCTCGCGAAACAGTCCGTACTTGCTAGTAAGTCTAAATATTTAATGACCACTATTAGCACTAGCCACGAATAGGTTAACGGCGCCATTCGTTCTGTTGTCCTCATTCATTTCACTTCAATCGCCACTGCTTTAAGTACACACTTTAATCGGAATTTACATAAAAGTGCATATTTTATTCGCTATGGGCTCAGTTAAATCCATTTACGATATTTGTGGGGGTAATGTGGTGAGATATCGAACTTTTTTATTACCAAAACTAAGTAATTTGAGTCGGCTATAGCGGTATAAGAATAAGACAATCAATATTTCCGCTATAAGTCTGACTGACAGACAATGCACAGCTGATACTTCTGAACGTAGACAGCTAATATTTAGCATTTGTTTTTGTTAAATAGTTTAAAAATAACATTTTGGAAATTTCTCTTGTAAGAAGTACTGTTGATTGTACCATTGTTTTTATTTTTCCTATAACTTAAAGCCTTATATGATTCTCTCTCCAATCGGGAAGCAATTGAGAAGTAAAAGATTTTTCGAAATTGAGTAGCATCTCCATTTAAACCAACCAAATTCTATACAAAAGTAGTTTGTGACCCAGGAAAGGAAAATAGGGAAATTGCAAAAGTTTTTACCTATAAAGCCAAATTCTAGACTTCTCTATCTTTGAAATTTAAAACAAGAAGTTATCAGCTGACGACCTTCTTATAAAAACACTTATTCGGTATAGCAGCTTTGTTTTCTTTTCTATAGCAAAATATGTTTGGACACTTCCGAATATCATCTGCACTTCGTCATGTTTCTAACACATTTTATTCACATATTTTGATGACAACGTTTGTTTTAACTTTATTTTATGGAGCATGTATTGTTTTGTCTACCAGGTGGACCCGAATGATCCCAATGGTCCGGAGCTGGACGTCCGCTTAGACGAGCTGCGTGCAACTATCCGTCGGTCAGAGATTTCAAAGGCCAAGTATGAGTCTCGCCTGGAGTGTCTCCGTGTGAGTGGTGCTCCAGTGGACGACTGGCTGAAGGAGGTGGACCTACTGGCTGTCCAGGAGCCATTGCAGCGCAGCAGCAGCCTGCTTAGCGTCCGCACTGACGCATCCGGTGCAGCTGTAAGTATCTTAAATTGCATTGATTCTTTATGATGATGTCCTTGCCTATCGTTGGTGATGTCATACTTCCAGACTCCTTTTTCAATATGATTTTTTAATATAAGTTAGCTTTAGTTATTAATATGCGTTGGTACTTCCCTTTCGTTTGTATTCACTATATTATTTGGTTAAAATAGTTTTAATGGCAGTTTTTTTGCAAAACTTATAATTATTATTATATTATATATCAGTATTATTAATGCTATATTATTAATGCTCGGCGAGTTTATTTCTAAAGCTTTGTAAGCGTATATCATATTTTGTTTTAATATCGAACGAAACTTTCTTATTAAACGCTGCATGGCTAACTTTTGATTTTATTTAATATAATTATTTAGCAATAGCGAGCGATATATTGTCTGAATAGTTTTTTTTTATTTCGTATTTTTTTCTTATCTTATAATAAAGACAAGATGGAATCTGACTTCATAGAAAAGTTTAAAACACACAATACCATTTATTTTTTTAAACAATCCAATTTACTCGAAATTCAGTTAATTGTTTTTTACTTAACCAGGACCAGCCGAGCTCCGATTCGTTCTATGACAGCGACAATACTGAGGGAGAAGGTACTTCGGCCTCAGCTTCGGCCTCGGCTTCGGCCGCCGTCGCTTCCAGCAGCCACCAGCGCACCACCTCTGGCTCACAGAACGACGACGAACATGATGAGGATGTTGACGGTATGTGAAACAAAAATCACACTTACCACTCACGGAATAAAATTCTTATTTGTACTTACAATTGATTAATTCCAATAACTTGTTCGTTTGAGCCTTCTTTCACCTACAAATTGATTGATGGGCAATTTTATGCCTAATTGACTTTGAAAGTGGTTCCTTTTTTGATTGACTATAACTTATTTCCAACTGCGATTTATCTGTAACGCTTGTTATCGTTGTTTAGCTATGCTGGAAGAAGATCGCATGCGAATTGAGCAACTGACAGTTGGTTGGGATGATCCGACCCAAGTGAATTGGGACGAAGGTGAAGGTGCCGCCGAGGCCGTAGAGGCTCCTGCAGCTCCATTGTACAAATGCACCGCCCTATACTCGTATACGGTAAGTTTGCCGACCAACGGCAACAAAGCTCATTACGTAATCTGCGTATCGAGCGCCGATCCATAAAAAAAAATCATAAAACTTTCTTATACTTCAATAAATTGACCTTGATAATAAACTCTTTTTATTTACCTCTGCTATTATTTGTCTATACGTTTTTGTGAATCATCCTCATAATTTACTATTATTTTTCGGCGAATAAATACGTTTTCAACAACGTCATTGTTCTTCTATTAATTTGATTTGTAGAATTCTTTATCATTACTTGTAGTGTTAAGATTCATTCTACATATAATGTGGTATTTTGTCATAGTTAAAGGTAAGTATTATCGTCATTATACATTTTCTCAGATCCCGATAATGATATTTTTATGTGTATCATTATAGACATTAGATAACATATATCTGTAATGTAATAGTATTAGATTTAATCCTAAACAAACATGCTCCATTGGATTCCCAATAAATGAACGGTGTTAATAAGGAAGCTTCGGTTTTTCTCGACAATTGATTGATCATATAGGTTAGATACATCTCTGGCGAGATAATGGTCTGTCACTCGGTAGATAGGATTCTCAATAAGGCTCCGTTGTAGACGGGATCTTAAGTTGAGACAGCAAAGACTCGGATAAAGTTATATCTGTTCCATATGTATGTCAGAGACGGAATTTAGCTTAAGTTAATTGGTGAATGTTAAGCACTAGCTCAGATATGTTCGTGCCTTTGTCAAACTGTTGTAAATGACAGACACGTTCATATTTGAGCACTTTGTGACATTTGTTAATAACAATTGTGTAAAAACCCGTCTAGACTTGTGAACAAGGAAAATTTTATGTTCTATTAACTCAGTTCTAGTAGGAATGTTTAGCTCGCCGTCGACATATTGTGTATCTGGTATGATAACTTAACAATTAAATATGAGGTACACTACAGAATTGAAAATGTAACCGCTTAATTAAAATGAATAAAAACAACTAGTTATACAAGATAATTGGTATGACTATACAGCTTTCTACTGTAATACATATTGTTGTTGATTTATATTATAAATCCGCACACTAAGAAAAATTTCGTTTCATTTCCCCTCTTCCACTAAAATTGAACACACACACCACATGTAGACTCACCACACATCCGAACGTCATGCTCGCGATTTTTCCAAAATTAGTTTTTTTATCATTTGACATTATTTTTATTTATTTTCCAATTGGCTATTAATCATCAAAATCAACTCAAATCTTGAACAATACATCACACTATATTTTCAAATAGGCTCAGAATCCTGATGAGCTGTCGATCATTGAGAGCGAGCAATTGGAAGTCGTTGGCGAAGGAGACGGCGATGGATGGCTTCGTGCCAGGAACTACCGCGGCGAGGAAGGCTATGTGCCCCACAACTATCTGGATGTCGACCGCGAACAGGTACTGTATGTCCACACTACCGACTCCACCGACTTACCCAGAACCCGCTTATAAGAACGTTAAACTTCAGCTATTTGTAATCGTAAAACCTATGTATAATGGACCAATAGCAAGCACATAATTACATCAATGGAAAAGAATTGCATTTTATTTTCTCATCGTTATCCAAACTCAAATACAAAAAAAAAACTAGAAAACTTTTTCAATATAGGTAGTCGTTGTCACCCAAGGTTTTAATTTTACTAATAAAATATGTTATTTTTTGTAGCCGTGCACAAGCTCGGGCGCACCGGGTCTGGTCTCCCAGATTTCATTCTCCTCTGTTGACTACACCGTCGAAGGCGAAGATGCTGATGTGGTACAGTCACCTGACCAGATCTCTGTCATCTCGGCCCCCGCTGCTAAGGCCGAGGAGCCAAGAGCTGAGGAACAAGCTCAACAAGAGTCCTTTGTAGCTGAATGGCCGACTGCCGAAACTTCTAAGGCACCTGAAGTGTCTGCAGCAGCTCCGAAACCTGATCAGCCAACTCTCGGTTATTGCTTTGCTATGTACGACTACGATGCTGAATGCCCCGACGAGTTGAATCTTGAGGAAGGACAGGTGCGAAATCACTTGATACTTTTATGTGAGCAAAGAATGGTTTGTCATTTGTCATTCTCTTCATAACACTTTTCTTTGTACAGATTATTCGCATTCTGTCCCGTGAAGCTCACGGCGTCGACGACGGCTGGTGGCGCGGAGAAGCCAACGGAGTAGTTGGCAACTTCCCATCTTTGATCGTGGAGGAGTGCGATGAGGTAGGCCGTCCTTTAGAACTACTGGAAAATACTTACGAATGTACTCCAAAAGGGAAGAAAGGAAGATTGATTCGATCGTCTGTCGCCTAAGTGATGACCATTTCGACCATGTTGTGTCGATTTGCTTACTTTTCCTAAGTACTTGAAACGGGCATATATACGTGACCGCACACGAAGTGCCTTCTAAGAAGGGGTGGCTAAAGTGATACGCAATAAAACCTTGTTTAATTTTACTTGAAACCTTTTTTTTTCATTTCATTTTCCTCATTTCGTTGAAACCTTTCATCCTTCTCCCTGGTAACCTTTTGACTTACCTGCTATTGTTTATTCTTTGTTTTATTTACAGTTTTTTCCTCATTTATTAATTGCCTCTCGACGTATACTTATTTAGAGTATTGTTTGCGGCGAATAAGGGCTGATATTTCAAATATAATTAAGCTTCTTAAAAGGTATGTTTACACGACTGTGATATAGCCAATATTGGTGGTGGAAGTCCTGAATTCGATCTTCAGGTTTATTAGGAATTTTCTTAGAGAATTCCCTTTGAGATTTATTCTTTATCTTTTAATCCATTTAATATTCGATTAATGCGAGCGATTTTATACCCAATATGTATGTATATAATGGTTTCAAATAATTAGAACGGCGAGCCTCTGAGTGGTGGCGAAGAATGGCCACCACTGACTACAGCTCCACCGGTGTTCGCCTCACCGCCGCACACGCCACCAGAAGCTGCCGGCGCCGAGGACCGTAAGGAACCAGTACATCAGTAGCTTGTTGGCCAGAAGAAAGGGGACAACTGTTATTACCTATTGATACAAGCGCGGAACGTCGTCAGTAGAAGAAAACTGAAAACTTAACGTACATTTCCAAAAGCGAATTTAATTTCTCCGTTGCTCTCAAAGATCAACGAAGAATCCTAAAAGTACATACGAACTTATAAGATATTGACCACAAAATGACTTATCAAAGATAAGGTGGAAATAAAAACAGTAATTATATAAAACTTCGCTACTTTTTAACATAACTTATTGTGTAAAAAATTGGTGGCATATCAAACATGTCAAAGTGACATGAAAAATGCTATTAAAAAATGTATAAGTATCGCATTGACCTACGTTCGTTGACAGCATAATTACTAGTTAAGCTCATTACGTGGGCACCGGTCACGTCGCAATCTATTCAATAGTATACAAGTAGTATTTAAACTGTCTTGTCTGCTTAAAAAAGTGACGTTTAAAATAGTGACAATAGGTATCGTGTAGTTGAAATTGGTTGGTTCTTCAAAAAAACTTATAAACCAAGACAGCTTTTGCTACCGCGACACCGTCCGCGTAGAATAGTGACTTCCTGCAGATTTTTGGTATAAAAACTATCCTATGTTCTTTCTTGAGTTCCAAACTATGTCTGTACCTAAATTCACAGTAATCTGTTCAGTAGTTCAGGCGTGAATAAAAGACAGACCGACAGACAGACAGCAAGAATTACTTTCGCATTTATAATATTAGTTTGGATAAAAATACATAAAATTAAACAACCTTTATTAATTTATTGTGTGTACATTGTACTTAATATTCGTCGTTTTTAATATTAATATAGAACAGAAGAAAATATGCTATTTAACGCATTAAAAAATTATGACGTCACAATGCTATTATTCGTACAAAACTCGTAAAAAAAGATTTTTCTATATTTATTTTGAAGAAGTTATGGAATAACCTATTCTCCAAATGAGAAAGAGAGGATGAAATTCTTGATTTCAAAATATGTAGCTTCTCAAATTACCAATGAAAGCGTTTTAAGAACTGTAATATTGGTACCCTATCCTTAAGTAATCAGCTTTTAACTTTTCAAACAGGTTGTCCCTTTTCAAAAGGCCTTTGTTTATTTGAATGTTTCTGTAACTTCATGATTGAAGTGGTAGATCTGGCTGATTGGGCTAATACATACGGTGTATTCCAATTGGCATGTTTGTGTCGCACGTTTAGCCGCTAGGATCGACACCACATTATCAGTATTGCATGTGTTGCACGATGTAAGTAAGTATTTGTAAAAATAGATATTTATCTTAAGTACCAAAAAAAGATCTTTGCTTTGACTTAATTTTTTATAAGACTTTCAATTAAAGTGTGACTTTGAGAAACAGGGCCAACTAATAGGCTTTTTATCAAATAAGAAAGCGATGAAAATAAAAGAGTGCCATAATATTGAGAAGTAGACTTTTATGAAAAAAACAATATATATTGATACGCATTTACATATAGGGTGGCAATATTTTTAAATTACATACCTAGCTTATAAATATGTATTCATAGAATTCACCTCAGAATTTTAAAATAGTAAATTTCGATAACGTTTTCTTATGGACGGCAATTCGAGGCGACGAACGACCTCGTGATTACGATGATTACCAATTAAATTATCATCAGTACTTTTCAAGGCTCAGTATTAAAAAAATAAACAAACTAAAAATAAAAGAACTGAGCTCAGAATGTGGTGGTATGGACTGGCTGTTCGCTAACGAACTTTTGATCGTCAATACAAATTCAAAAATTACGATCATTCGATTTTTTGCAAAGCTGTTAACTGCCAACTCTAATATTTAGCCCCGAATGTCGATAAAAGACCTCTTTACTATTTTGATCCTAAACATGTACAAGTATAGGTATATTTATTTAAAAAACAATAAACAACTTTTTTATAAATTTATATTATAGGTATCTACATATTAATTCTGCCCTCTTCTAATACACATGAACACATATTTATCAAAGCAAGACACATGAATATCATAATGTAAGATAAGAAGAATAAGAAAATATTGTAAATAAAGCTTGACTACCCAAAATTGTACAGCATTAGCAAAAATACATTAAGTTACCGATTTGTCTACTAAACAAAAATTTAATCGAATGAAACACATCTTAAGATGACGTGACTGGAAAATAATAATTTTGAATAAGTATAATATAATATTTAAATTAAAGTAACGGCATAAAATTTAAATGACAATGTGTATTAATAAAACGTTCAAAATAGTCGTTATTCGAATTTGAAATTTGTAAAACAAAGATCGAACAACCCTTTAAAACCCCAAGGTGTAATGGAATCACGATCACCTAATGCTGCGTACAGACCGCCCATGAAAGGGTTTCGTTGACCTCCGTTGCTGCAATCTCAACGGCTTATAAACGTAAAACTCGTCCAGTCCAACATTAAAAGTGTTAGGCAAATAATATTGTGTTTAACAAGCATATAGCAATGAAGGTCAACGCGTTCGTTGGCGTTAGTTTGTACGCAGCATAAAAAGGAAAAGTCGCGACACAAGTAAAAGACGAATCGGTGACAACATGTATTCCCCCCTTATCCAAGATTGGCCAAGTCACGTCCAATGATTGCATGTCAAAATTTGCACTGATCCTGCTATGGCTGAACTGTGTATTCCTATGGACGCTGCTAGAGGTGGAGATTGACAACAACAATACTAAAGGTGCTGCGCCCCCCGACGCTCCCCCGCCACCGCCGCCCCCTGATCTCGGGGACTCCATGGATAGCCAGCCCGACTTCAGCTTTAATCTTGAGCTTAGCAGGAACCAGCAGGAACACTACGGCACCCAGTTCGCCGCCCCATCTGTTACTATCGTCGGTAAGTTAGATATCGGTGCCTCTACCATAAGTTTGAAAAGCAACAGTATTTGTCGATAATCTTTAGCATCGATGTAATTTTCGTATGACAAATTTTACAGCACCTCTAGCGACTTCTTAAGAAACTAATATTTTAGCCAATTACAATGTACTTCGTTGCTATCGAGGATCAACAAATACTATAAATATAAAACTCATGGAAGAGGATCGAGTTTAAACTACAGCTCGTCGAGTCAACCTCAAACTGACTGATTTTAATAGATTTTCGTCCTTATTTTAAGTGTAAAGTTGAAGGTCTGTTAAAGTGCGACAGTTTGCAGTGGCTTGATGTTCTCAAAAGGATTGCCATAGTCAGGTTCCATTGCCAAAGAAATTATGGGTTTCTGGAAGGGTAATAAAGGGTCTTATTAGCTTGCTACAACTAAAAAGGATTTACATATTTACTTATGGGAATTACAAATAAGTGTATGACGCTGATAGATAGAAAATTGAATAGTTTTCAATATAATGTATAATATAATGGTTTTCAAAAGTGATTTTTAAGAATTAATTGTAGGTAATAGTAACTGAGTTTGAAAAGTACTCTATATGTAGTAGCTGTAATTTTCTTGAGCATATGCAAAAATTACTTCACTACCCACGTAGACGAAGTTGTGTTTAACTTTAAAATGGCACACAAAGAACCGTGGAAGCCATGATTGAGTACAAAGTTTTCAAAACTTTACCTTTTGTTGTGGTAATAAAGTTAAAAATTTAAAAACAAACTTTGTAATGTCACTTTGTTCTGTTACCTTTTCGAAGCTCTATACATTTTAGATTGTTGTTATAACAATTTTATTCCGAAAGCGATTGCCAAGAACACATTCGTCGATGACGACAATAATTATTATTAGTAACTTTTATGTATAGCTACATAAGTGTGAAAGTTATTCATTTGTTTCAATTCTCAGAGCAAAAAGTTACCTTAATCACGTTAAATTTCGTTGTTTTATTCTTAAATTTTCCTTGGCCAACAATATTTTGGGTAGACTTACCTATTTTTAAATTTAAAAACCATAATAGGAAAGGAAAGGCATGTAGAATTTTAGAATACTTTATTTAAAAAAGTATTTATTAAACATTGATATTTATTATGAAGGGACAAGGACATTTTCTATGAGAAATGGCAATATATATGTTAGGCAAATAAAAACATATGTTTTGTTAGGACTTTAAGTTTTATCATGAGTAGTTTTTAAGTTCAAATTCAACTGCTTCCTATTTGGGTGCTAACTGTAAATAATAAATGATACTTACATAAAACTATCAACCATAATGACAGTTCTCAAACGATACTCAATTTTTTTCTAAATTCAACATGTTAACTGACCTATCATTTACACAACCGTCACCTCGGTAACCGCAATTTCCCAGTTCATTTATCCCTCGATAAAACATAACCACTTAATCGTAGAAGCTAACAAATAATGATGTCAACAATTGAGTTGCGTTTGAGAATTGCCGACAAAACACTAGCAAAATGTTGATATAATCGTAGCTTTCGATGTATTTATTCTTGTGTCAGGATATATATGTACATGTAATATTACTTTGTTTATGTTTAGTGTTAATTTAGTGTGAATTCTTTTTCATGCTTCAGTCGACGAAGTGGTCGGTGAATGCTGGGAAGAGGTTTGACTCCATAATACAAATCTATCCCTCTATACACAACTACGTGCTCCTACATGTTGCTTGTTGAAGCTTGTTTACATTGTAGCTTGTTGCTATTGTTATTGTTTCAGTTTTCACTTATAACTCCCGTCGCAAGAATTATAAGTGAAACCTGAACTTATATTGAACTACTTTCTGTAGCTCATATCATCATAGCATGCCGCTTCAATGCATGAGTTGAGTTTACTTTCGGAATGCGATCAGTACTTTATAATCCGAAACTTTCAACTTCTTCCTCTGGATTCCGTATTCTCGTGATGTGACTAAGTGTGGTGTTTCCTCCATTAGAACATCCCGGAGCCGGTGCAGGCGGTGCAGACTGAGCAGACCGCCGAGGACTGCGGGCTGGGTGTGGCGCAAATCGTCATCACCGCGGCCACACCCATGGTGGAGGAGCCCGACCAACCTTTCCCTCCACCAGAACCTGAAACCGAAACTGAAGCCAACGGTGAAGCCGAAGCCAACTCGGAGACGCTGCCCGAACCTGAGCGCGAAGAGAACGAAGACGACGAGTCATCCCTGTCGGAGCAGACTGCTGTCTGCCTGCGGGACTCGGACGACGGGCCGGCTGACTCAGCCCCGCACCCGCACTCCAGTTCGACGGCCTCCGAGGGCGAGTCCGGCGGCGCATCCGTGGCGTCAGGTCCGCCCACCGCGCCACAGTCACCGCCTGCGGCCCCGCGCGGTGGCCGCGCTAGCATCCCTGATGAACTCGAGCCGGCGCAGCTGGCCAGGCTCACTGACCTCAAGGAATCCAACGCTTAAGGCCTAACTAGACACCGACCGATATCCTCTTTACGGTGTCGGTCAACTACTGATCGTAATCGATCTTCTACATTAGACCGTTTCTCTGCTGTCAGTTTTTAGCGATCTACCCTCGCGGTAGCGAGACTATGTAATGCAGTATTATACCTTACCTACTATCCTATCTACAAATTATTCTACGAAAATATTTTTATGTGTGTATTCACACTATATTCGTTTTCACTGGTGTCGCTGATGTTACCCCTGCGAACAATCCCAAGTAGTCAGATTTATTAAAATATAATAAAGTAGATCTAAATGTTTATTTACCTAGTAAAATAACTACGGTAGGTGTTTACTTAGCCAATGTTTATTGATGTTAGGATATCTGGATATGTAAACATTTTTGATGAATATGTAATATTTATAAGAGTTTATAATGGAATATTGGGAAATCAAAATTTACGATAAAATTGTCGGTGATCTGTTGTGTGTAGAGGAACGGTCGGGACATGTAGATTGTACTGTATATAGCTAATAATACTTATTACTAGTTAATAAGTACAAGAGCACGTTCTAGTACCTGCGAATAGAGGGTATGTTAGAGGCGTATGTTAGAAGGACGTGGCGTGTTGACGTGGCGACGGAGGTGTATCAGGACTCGACAACACCAGCTTGGAGCGTGTCGCCTTTCTAATGTAATACGAGGCCCTTGTTTCTCAAAACAAGGACCCAAGTTCCTCAGCTAGCGATCAACACGCGAGTGTAGCGATGTAACTAAGCTCCGTCGCTGGATATTGACACAGCGCACAGAACAACGACGTGCGAGTATAAGGCGCTCGCTTCAATATTCTGCGGCGGACGGTAGGATTAGGAAGATACAGGGTGTTACTAGCTTCTCTTCGTTAACTTCCCCTGCAATAACTGAGCCTCGAGGCTCGGGTGTTAACATCAGTCGCCCGCTGCGTACCATCAGCAGCGGCGGAGTGTGGAGCGCAAACCCATCCTCATAATTATGCAGTCGTCGTGAGACCAAATACTTCTTATTTTTCGTCACTCAGTACATAGCTTAATAGGCAATTAATTACCACCAATGTGGCACAAACATCTGAAGTTAGAACATTCGAGGCGACCTCGCCATTCTCTACTCTTTATCACAAAAATATCACTATTTATTATTATTATATCACTGATGCTATCTAGTTGGTTATCAAATAGTTTTTAATCGTTTCATCTTACGATTATTTATGTACGATTATATCCTCGCAACAACGTTTATGCATTTCATGTTTCTTAAGCCAAATAATTTCTGCTTGTTATAACTTCGACAACTACATGTTCCTTTTTGGGGTTGATACTTATTGGAAACGTGTAATATAAATAGCTTGCTAACGCAGATATACTGCGTGTGGTCACCGTGAAACGAATGATTTTGGCTTTAGGAAATTTGAATAAATATTATCAATATAGTCGTCTATTACATTTCAATGTATTACGTAAATGTTTAACATAATTATGTTAAAGATATCACATATAAAATTAAATGAATTAATCGACGTACGTAGATGAATGTTTACCAAGTAGCTGTTAGCTGTTTAACGATGTGATTCATGTGTTGTGTTAATATATCATTGTTCTATATTATTGTTAGTTATACATTATATTGAGACCCGTAAAAACATCGAAAGTCCATTGGATCATGTTGTTTTCGATTGCGCCTCTTCAACCTCGTTTCGAGAAAGTCGTAAGTCACTTGTTCAGGAAATAAAATATGTGTTTTTACGGGTTGATCCACGTTTGAGGAAATAAAAAGTTGTTTAATGAATATTCTGGGAGGTATGTAGCACTCTGTTTAGTATATAGACACTGTATTAAACGATGCACAGACTATTGTTGACTGTACTCCAAACTTAATGGTTTGTGGTAATTATTATAACTACACTACATATATCTATAACAATATTAAATGTTGCTTTTTCTTTAGACAACTGACTTGAATAGATACGTTTTTCTGCTGGGATTATATGAATTATATTCTTCTTTGGATCAATGTTTCATTTCGTGTCGATATGCCAAATGTCTCTCCTACCCTTAAAACTTAACACTTAAATAAAATTCGTAACCCTACTTATTCTGTACCTGGGTACGTTTGTACCTACATAGAACATGGAATAAATCGAAAAGTAAGTATCTCAAGAGTTATGTACAAAAACTATGAATAATATTAATACTCTGAAAAATATCAAGTAGGTATTGTTCAAGAAAATGGAGGTACTGAATATAGGAAAAAAAATACCTTTTCCAAGAGTAATATTATATATGTATACAAACAATCTATCCTAATGTGACCTCGACTACATAGACACACGTACTTAATGGGAAAAAAGTATCTACAAATACATTAAAAACCCTTCGTGAAAGGAATATAAAAAGGTGCTGACTACCTGCATACCAACTGTACATCTCACAAGTATACAGGTATATGAATAATCTCCAAGTGTACCGAGTCTGAAAGTCTAAGAAATATATGAAACGAACGATAGTAAAAGTTGTGATACTTACATATACATAAGTAGGAACCTATCTACTACATACGTATATAATAGGTATGTTAACTGTAGATACAGCTGATATGGCGGAGTGAAATCATTCTATATAAGGTAATTAAGTACATAAGTCGTACCTACGTTGCATAGTATAAACACAGATATATCTACAACTTCAATCTGTGTCTGTGTGCGTAGATATCCGCAACAACAACGCCATCTAGATGCGCAAACGCTTTGCATAAGACCACCTTAAAGAAACAAATTAACAAAGATCACTACAACATTAAGTAACAAAAAAAATTTTCACACAAGTAATATAATTTGAGATAATCTCAGCATTTAAACGCAAAACTAGTATTGTAGCAACTACTAGTGTCTATTCGAATATTTATACCTACTGTTTAAAGACTATTGTAACTATTATTACCTGATCGTAGTTAAAGATATGTACCGTGTGTGAAATAAAACTTCTATGAAAACATTTAAAAAGTTTTCTTAAAACACACAAAATGGTTCATTATTTAATGTACAATCGGCAAAATTGTAAAACCCCAAGTGAAATAATTATTATTTATAAATTTTCTGTACCTTTACACACGAACTGTGTACTTAGTAAGTGTTTTGACAATGAACAGTATCGTATACATACAATTGTAAATGTATATAAAAATGGCCTGTATATCTACCGTATTTTTGTCGATTGTACTTCATGCTTTCCAGTTAAAAGTACCGCAATTCGTTACTTTCCAGTCTTTAAATTGTTATTGTTTCTCTGTTTTATTGATAGATACTCTGTAATGTTTCTTTTTTTATTTTTTTTTAATGTCTGTTTTACTAAACTCTCGGAAGTATGCCTTGTTGATGTAGAGTGTTGCAACCAGCACCACACTGCCGTGAATCAAAGTGTTATTAGATGTAGTTAATGTAGCGTTAAGTTAGGGTGTCTTCGTAAAAAATACTAGGGAGCTTGCTTTTCAAAAATATGCCCTAACAACACAGTCGTAAGGTCACACGTAATTTTTAGGACCTAAGAACGAATTATTCCCTTTATTATTAATGCAGTGCTCGACAAAGTGCCTTCTACGAAGACGCTCTAAAAGAAGCCTTTCAATTAGTCTCCTAGAGAAATAAAGGCAATAATCTGCAAATTTTAAACTAAATAAAATTTAATTTGATCTTGATTTTTATAGAATTATAACTTCGTTCTTCCGTAGACACTAATTAGGTTGGATTTTTTTATAATTTTGGTTGTCTTCTCGCTGATCTGTGGCGGGAAAGCCCGAGAAATATGGCAGGCTGGCCGGTTTGCAGTTGAAGAATGTTCTGCAACGGAGAGGCCGGTATTATGCACAGCTCGCGTTTTTAATACCTATCCGTGCGCTGCATCAGTGGGTTAGGACAGCTCTTAAATATGCAACTTCTAGTAGAGCAACAACGGCACAAAATTTTTACCAATTAATCTAATTTTGAAACTTCAAGGTACTTTTAACTACAAAATGGCACTTTTTGATTTTTTTTTAAATAAAATTACACACGGTACGGAGTGTAAGTAAGGAAATGTAAAGGTTTATAGTTAATTAGCGACCACCATAAGGTCGCAGGTTCGATGTACGGTTGCTTTAATGTTTCCCCAATGCCTTTTCGACCTGCAATAAACTTTCTAAAATTGATTTTCTGGTGTTTTATTTATAGATTAACCCTATGGTTCGATTTTATAAGCAAAATATCGTACATAGTAGGTACCTACACATGAATTACCTTACATAATTAATATATGTAAAATATCTAATAAAAAACACTCAAAAATGGAAATGGAACAAATATACATACTGAGTTGCTACGCAATTGCTACGCGCGTAGCCAACGTAGTTAAACGACGCGAGACCCGCTACGAAAGTCATCGCAACCACTACGATGTATCCTTTTTTTTGTGAGGGGAAAATCATCAAATGGCTTATCCCGCCCAGGGTAGGGCGGGAGGGAGTTTCAGACTCTTACTGACTAAAAACCCCCCAGCGCGCGCGGAATGCTACTCGCCGTACGCTCGGGTCTGGTTCTGGTCGGGCGGCGAGCGCTTACGGTGGCCGAAGATCATCTCTCGATCCCCGACGCCCGAAATGTCGCCCACTGCGGCGGCTGAGGCGCGAGGAGGATAGTTCCCTCGCGCGCTACGCCTCATCGTTTGCGAGCATCACTGCTTCGCAGAAAGGGGAGACGACTTCCCTGTTCCTCTCGCTACGAACCATGGCCTTGACTAAGGCCGGGCACGAGAGGTCGCTGCCGCCGGTCACTTCCCGAAGGACACGGCGGTGCTCAGCCCAAACAGGGTACACCGCCACCGTATGCTCGACCGTATCCTCAGGGTTGTCCTCATAATGACGACACTCTGGCGTTACCTCCCGCCAGATCCGAAACAGGAACCTAAGGAAGCTATGCCGTAGCGGTGACAAAATATTTTATAACACAATAAAATGCGTCATTGGATCAAGGGATCGTTAGACCGGACAATGATTTCCGATCTGATTATTGGATTAGTTTATTTTGTTTTTGTTTAGATCTACTTGAGTCTTACGAAGATACCTTTTCTTTGAATGCGGCAAATCATCCAGTTGCCCATTCTGCTTTGGGAAGCGCGACAGGGTGTTCCACACTTTTATTGACTAATACCCACCCCGTTCCTTCTCCTGCTGGGTTGGAGGTCAAAACTTTATTTTAAATATTTGTGTAAAGAGTAAGAATCTGGCGATAAATGTGAAAGGAGTGTTTCAACTTAAAGCAAGTCAATTAGATACTACGGATATTTCAGGCAATATTTCTTTATTTTAGAGAGGATGTGTCATGCTCTTGCAGACTAAAAACCATCCGTTCCTTGTCTAAAATACTCGATTTAATTATAACCCAAAAGTATGCTATTTGACAGAAAAACATTATGATGTCAAAGCTGGCAATCTAATACTCAGTAGGTTTTCGTAAAAATGGTCATAATAATAAATACGGTTAGGAAATGGATTCGGCTTTCATTGTACCGATAGTCGTGTCAGCCAATGGCTTAATAGCCAAGAGCCTCCGTGGCCTCAACAAACACCTTAGGAGGCTCTCGTCAGGTGGCTGGATCACAAGGGCTTGATTCAGAAAGCGGTACTCCTGGACACGGCTCGTATTGTCAGGAGATTCCTTTCCCTGGAGCCCTGACCTGTAGCTAAGACCTTTTCCCGATACCGGTAGGACACTACTTTTTTTTTATTTTAAAATGACTTTAATTTTTATTTTTAAGAAATATTTTAAAATGTAATTTATATGTTTAATATGCTAAATAAAGAGAATAATACTTTTAAAAAAATAAATAAAAACCACAATATAGTCCACAACGAGTTTATTTATTTATTCAGATATACAATTAACAATTATTTTTACAAACAGTGTTCTTTACTACACATTAATTTGCTAATACTAAATTTCAAATACGATCACAAGGTAGTCTTATAAGAGAAGAGGTAGTTCTGAAAGGAAACACGTGGCTTAGGTGTTGAGGGTCGAGAGAGAAATACAACATCAATACAGTAAAGTCGTACAAGAAACACTTACAATTATAAACCATCTACTACATATGTACTCACGATATAAAACAATAGTAAAAAGCCAACAAAACAAAACAACTCGGTACACTACGCAAGTACTATGGAGAAACTGTTTGTGCATTCCACTCCAAGCTTAGCATCAATAACAAAACAAATATCAATTTAAGTACTTAATACATTTATATAAATAAATAAATTCCACGTACTACAATGGAACAGAGTAAGCCCTATGAATGCGGAAATTGTAATTCATTTTTAATTTTTATCTCCATAAAAAATAAAATATTACTTAATCCTAACTCTGTTAACACAAATGTTCCCGGAAATTGATGAAATTAGGCGTCACAAAAATGCACCGCCCTATCGTAATCAGTCAAACCTTATAGTAGAATAAAATTTGTTCAAAAATGGACGTTTTCTGTTACAATGCGTCGGTTTAATTATTGTAATTGCACGACAGCTTAGTGCCAGATGGAAAATTTAAAAATATAGGTAGACAGCTTGCGTTACCACATTCGGTTTCATAAATAATGTGATCACAACCGGTTAGTTTGTTAAACGCGATATGTTACGTTCCTAGGGCTATGATAACGGTTAGTTTAATTACTCAAAACAAAAACCACAGCAAAGTCACGCATAGTACCTAGATACAAGAAGTAAGATCGCTCCCGTTCACAAAGTACGTATACGAACAAAACTGTTAATAACAAAATGGATTGCATTATTGTACAACTTAACCTATTTAAATCTAATTGGTAACAAAAATGCCTCCTGATGAAATTATATTTAAAATAAATTATTATATTCTGCAGTTTATCATCTGTATCGTTGTAAATCAGCAACAAAATTTACCTTTCTTATTATGTTTAGTAAAAGATTATTTAATAATACTACGGTTGACGATAATCGTGTATTGTGACCTACTTGTTAAAATGCTTGTGTATCTCGGGTCATAGAAACGCTGGTAGAAGGTCACTGAACTGACCCAGTTCAGTGCACAAAGAATGGCGAATAACCACGATACTTAGAGATACATGCTCAAGTCAATGCTCTCGTGATTAAGCACGCAACGTTCCACCGAAGTACCGACGCCACTTTCTCGGACGAACCCGTTCCTATGACCCGAAACATTCCTTAATTTAAACACACAGCGATAAAACATCTATTGAAACATCGATATCCATCAAGTTGAGCTAATAAACGCTGAATTGAATACACGTAAACATTTAATTAAGACTATTACGAATGCATTAATGGGAATTATTTGAGAACGTCAAAACTGGACATGAAATCGCTGTTGAATATTGTGTACTTGAAGCTGGACCACACCTGAGCCACGGTTGCTAAGGTCTATCTGAAGCTGTTGGTTTTGTACTGCTCGTAGATTTCTTGGAACATGTTCCTGCAGTTCATCTTGATTTTGAGCTTGGAGCAGAGGAGGAAGACTCCGGAGAGCTTGCGGTGGAGGGAGTATATTTCCTCTGGGGGTGGGCAGAGTCGGTGCGTGAGTATAGTGGGCACGAGGGCCTGGATGCGGCGTGTCGTCTGTTGCGTGCCGAAGTCAAACTCCCCAGCGCCCTCACTCGTGAACACTTCGCCCATAATCATCACCGTGTCTATATGAGTCTCCTCCATGATCTAAAGAAGAGATATAAGTGATATGGTTATACAAAATCTTAGATTTTCTACTTGAATTGTATGTTCAGATATCACCAAAGATTGTACAAACGCAAGCACATCAAGCCAAAACTATTAAATAGATCCTCAGCTTTAAAGAGTCAATTGATTTTCGTATGACAATGGGGATTGTTCATTTTTTTTTTAATGAGTAAATATGAAATCCGTTTCGAGGAATAGGGTCACTCATGACAATTTAGCGTTTAAAATAGTAAAATATTCACGGATTATTGTTATTTATCGCTAAAAGTAAATAACCTTTATTTGACCTCTAGTGACGTCATCGTTTGGCTCTAAAGGGAGAATTCCTTTGCCATCAAATATAATACACACGCTCACACACACTTACACGACAGTTTACAACTGTCAAAAGTGTCAAGATATATAAACAATAAACATAACCTCTAAAAACATTCGATTATTCTATTTAGCGTCTAGCGAAATTACCACCAAAAAACTATGGAATATAGGAAGTGCTTCATTCCGACATGTAAAAATGACTCAAAAAATAGTCAGCTTTCACGAAGTTGTCAGTCATGGTAAACCGTTCGTAAAAAACAGAAAGTTTATAAAATGATTTACAAACAAGATGAATGATAGCGTGGTATTTATTTGAAAGAAGTTTATTGTTTACTGTACTGTATGACACTAATGAACAGATTGACAACCTATTGACATTTCTCTAACGTCAAAGAAATTTTTTAATTGAAAGGCCACAGATACGTGAATTATACAGCCAAATGATGACGTCACCGTAAGAAAGTTACTCCTAATTTTAAATAATTTATAAAAATAGAACGACTCCATAAAAATAATAATTATTCAAATTAGTTTCTTAGAATGCTCTATATTATCGAAATCTTAAATAAAAAATGAGGGTCGAAAAAAATGTTCAATGCCCATTCGGGATACATTGTTCGTACAATGTCTCTTTAACAAGATTAAATAATCTATTTCAAAAACATTTTCTAGGAACACAAACCTTAGATTCGTATCCAGTGAGGAACTTCATCTCGCGTGACATTTCAAGTATGGCCTTCCTGTCACCTCGGGACGCCGCGTGAATGATCTCAATGTACTGGTCCATGAAATCTTTCGAGTACTCGCGAGTGGCGCCAAAATCTAACAGGATGACCTGTAGGATATTTTGAACAATATAAGTATTTATGAACATCTTGATGAATACTCGAATAAGTGAATAAGGGTTGAAGAATGTAACATTTTCTGGCAAAAAGAATTAAGACCGTCTTTGGTACCCATTTCTTGTATGTTTTATAATTGTTTTGTGTATTTGTGTGGAAAAAAGTATATATAATATTATATCATCTACCTATCGTTTCAGTGTCTTTGGTCCTTTTTTCCCTAGAATGGATTTGGAAGAATAATATTTGTGAAAACATTTAAGGCATAAAATTTAGTTGTACGTTTTAAAATCCTTTTACCAATGAATCAAAATAACTATACTCGGAATTTTAATTCCATTCCAGATTTGACAATTTCAGTGTTGCAACGTTATGACACGTTCTAAATAGTGACGTTGCGAAATTATTCGATATGGAAATTGAATAGTACTGAATCGAATCCTCTCGTTTATAAATTTTCTCTCGTAAACTAAGTTTATCAGGAAATAAAATATTTATGAACCGATAATTTAGTTTTGACAATTTATTAACGATCTGAGACTTTTCTTTTGTAATTGTGTATCAAATTAATAAAATATGTGATCATGAAGGAACATGACAAATAAAACAGACTTTTATAAATTGTCGCCGTCATCGCTATCGCTATCGCTGTTTCTTTCTGTAACATTTATTATGAATTGTGTCTGTGATATTTATTGTCAATTAACATATCTAGCTTACTAATTTTTTCCTCCTCTTTGACAACATGGGATACGCATTTAGACCATTCATTTTGAATGCCTTCCGGAAACTGATTCACTGATTGTTTATCGATTTTTGTGTTCATCACTACACTGTTATATGTGGTATCAAAATTTCACAAAATGACAGTAGGTCATGTCAAATCAGGAATCGAATTAAAATTCTGACTATAATGCAGAAATACCTACAATACTGCAGAGTAGTAACATTTTGAATTCTTTCTCTACATCAGCCAAAGGTCTCTATTGTAAGGTAAGCTGGTAAAAAATATTCTATAGCATAAAGATAAAAAAAATATTGTGTGGTAACTTTTAGTGGCACTAACCTGTTTAGTAGTCGGGTTATAGAAGAAGTTAGCCCAGTTGGGGTCAGTTTGCATGCAACGCAGTACAAACATCTCCCGCAAACAGAGCTGCATGATTTTGTACGCGATGTCGGATCGGACCTCGTAGTCAGCGTCAAACAGTTTGTCTAAGGGCACGCCGTCAATCAATTCTGTTGTTATCACTTCGGGAGCGCAGAGTTCATCTGGAATATTAACAAAATTATCAGTCAGACTTGTTTCTTTCACATGTATTGAACATATGGTAATAAACAATCGCATTATTTATTAGCTAGGAGTAGTTATGGACTCGATAGCAGATCTACAAGACGACCGGGTGTCCTTTACAGGTGTTGATGGTGGCCACTAGGGTGGTTTACTATAGGCCTTTCGCCCTAAAAAGCTAGGCCTTTCTCAAAGGCTTCCCCATTAAAAACGGTGAAGATTGTTATTGAAATATGCAAATGCCTACTAAATACTAAGCTAAATTAACAAAGAACTTTTCGCATAGCAGTTTAGTTGCATTGGGATACTGTTTAAGCTTGTCTATTCTGTTTTATCGATAACATGTAATTTCAAGCGAAATTTGCAAGTAGCAGAGCGCAAGTGAAATTCGCAATTGCTTAGGCAATTAATAGAAATACTTATAATTGGAATTATTATCAGTCGGCCTAGACAATCGTCTTCAAACTTTATTGACTACATAGGTATTGTACAGGAGCCAGAGTGTATATGTTCTATACATAATTTATATGAGTACCTACAATACCGCCAACGTATGTTAGCGAGTCTGAAGTTAGCCGATTAGCTGCGCAGTACACAATTTTGTTCCTAAAACATCCATTGCGCAGACAAACGGCTAACTTCAGACTCGCCAAGATACGAGGCCGTACTGTACTTATGTATGAACGGGTTTCATCTGTCACAAATTAATTCATCAAACTCCAAGCGATCGCCGGTCTATAGTGTCTTGATTTACCAAGATTGAAAGCTTGAAATTGCGTAGCAAATAAACTGAATTTCGCATGTATTCCATTACAGTAATAACAAACATAATTTTACTAACCAATGACATCAGGCACGAAGTACTCGGGGTACGGTGCGAGCAGCCTCTTAAACTTCTTAGTACATTCAGCCTCACGCAAGTAATCCACTTCCCAGGACAACTCTTTCTTGGCCACCTCCACTATATTGTCAATAAACATACCCTTTGGGAATATGTTCCATACCTGGAAAGAATAATGCTAGGTTATTTTACATGTAATAAGTCATTAAGATTACTTCCTGTGCGGGTTATGGTTTACTGCCTCAGCTGTGTAAATGTGAAAGTTCAGGAAATTAATACACAACACAAATATCTTAGATGATTATGTAATACCACATGAAGACGTTACCTTCATGACTCCAACGAGGTTATCGATGTCGCTGTTGATGCCCTTGGCGACGCCTGGGTATTGAACCTTGACTGCAACCTCCTTGCCATCGTGCAGCACTGCCAGATGTACCTGGCCTGAAAAACCAAGATTTGCATTTCAGACGATAATCTAAACTACAGCAATACAAAATATATATGATTTGAATCTTAGGATAATCCTGTGATGGGAAATAGAATACTACCACTCCTATTCTTGTCGTGGGCTTCATTTGACAGGGACCGAACATAAGCGCTCACTTATAAGCCACATCTTCTTCAACTATAACCTCCAAGTCACCTGGCAGTATGGAAATTATGGCAAACTAGTCTTTATTAGAGAGACAATTAACTTACCAATAGATGCAGCCGCAAAGGGTTTGTCTTCAAAACTAGCGACTCTGTATCTCCATTCCGGGCCCAGCTGAGCACTCATGACCTTTTCCACCTGCCACGATGGCATAAAGTCCGCAGATTGACGCACACGTTGGAATATGCGCTGCAGCTCTGGAGATATCATCGAATCGTCCTGGATACTCAGAAGCTGACCAAGCTTTAGGGCGGCACCTGAAATAATAACATAGAAGTCTAGGCATGTAATACAATTACTACCAGATTTCACAATTAAATACTGGACGACATTTATGTTTCCCTCGTACCTCGAACTTTGCACAGCGTATCAACGATTCTCTCAGCATTCGCCGGTGACAAGAACGCATTGGCTGATTCATCCACTTGTCCCGTCACAGACTGGAATGTGTTCCTAGCGTACTGAGCGACGGTGCCCACACCCAGGCCGGCAGCTAGAGACCCGAACGAGAACATTCGGCCGATACGCGAAGACGGCACCACTCGCGGCTTCGAATTCTCACTCAACTGCAATTATAATTATGTACATGAGTTTTAGATGAAAACCTTCTTTAAATAACAAATATTACATATTTTATACTCACAGCAACTCTGATCTTCTTCTTAGCAACAGGCTTAGGCCCCAGAGAGCTAGCGGATGACGAAGAATCAGTAGGGCTTGGACTTGGCATGGGTGTATCTATCCACACAGGTGCGGGATCCGAGGAAGCCACTACCTGGATAATGTCCTGCACCTTTCGGGATTTAGCTTGATCTATGCGATCCTGCAACTCCTCGATGGGAGCCGACATTGCGCTTTGGTTTAAAGGCGGGGCAACAGGCGTAACAGCAGGCGCCGGAGGTGGCGGACCATACTGGTTCTGAACCTTCTTCAGAGTATCGAAGGTTCTGTTGAACTCCCTGTTTAATTCCTCAATCTCTTCTTGCATTTGCTGGTCGATTTCAGGAGCTGGTACGTTGGCACTCATGTTTGGAACTTGTAGCACCGCGAACTGTCGGAGACCGTGCGCAACTACAAATGCCCTTTCCACAAATTCTTTCCCCGAAGGTAGGTTAGGGTTGTAGGCTAGTGGGTTAGTCGGACAGTCGGAAAGTAGCTGCTTCAAGCTAGAGTTATTCCATAGTACACTTGAAGCTTCTATCTGAGTTTTGACACCAGCGTCCACCACTAAACGGAGCCCTCGCAATACGCCTATTAGATCATTAATGTGCGACATGTCCTGAAATATTAGTTTGGTTATGTACATATTTGCTTATAATACATACGTCATTAATAATTATATACAATAATGGGTAGCAATCTAATAAATGTATACATAATATGCACACATCGTAAATGTTGTGTATACATCGGCAACTTCATTTTGTTCCCGTGATGCTCGAGTCAAGAGTCAAATTCTGTAGCTTGAAGTTTTATCTAAGGAGACCATCTTCAGCAGTATATTTATTTGCTCCCCGCAATCTGCATCATAAAGGCCGACCTACCTTCCATGACTAGGTAAGACTAGGCACTATATTTAAACTGTCCTTGCCTGTTCAACCTTTACAAAAGTCACCTACACACGGCACATCACTTCCTACGTAATATCGACAACAACACCTACACAAACTGAGGAAACCGGACGTGCATAATAAGGCTGAGCGCATACTACATCAACATTTTCTTCGTTAACTGGGCTAACTTTTTTATAAATACCATTAAATTTGTCCATTGCCATGTGAAAGAGGTAGGTATATGATAATTCAATAGGCCACTGACTAGCTGTTACAATGTGCAAGCTGAAGTGGCAATGGGCAGGCTACGTCGCTCGAAGGACTGATGGCCGATGGGTCAAAAAATATCTCGAGTGGCGACCACGGCCCGGAAGACGTAGCGTGGCGTCTTCGTCGTAAACCTCCTGCTAGGTGGACCGACGAGCTCAAGCTCGTGCTCGTCGGAGTCCCGGGGAGCCAATAGATGCGAGATGCGAGTGGAGAGAACAAAGGGGGAAGCCTGTGTCCGAAATCAATATTTTGCTAAATATATCTATCTTTCATTGACTTACTGGCGTGGTAGATCTGAATTCCAAATTAAACAAAAATAAGTTGATTTATTATTGCAATATAATATGAAAACGCAGGAGTTTGCGACCGGAATCCGAAATCCAAAAACCGAAAAAGCGGCGGGTTACTGTGCGGCGACCTTTAGTTCGGAGAATCCTGTAGGGACGATCGATAGCTCGCAATGTAGCCTGCTTAATTAGGACTTGAGAGGACGGCGCATGCGCGAAGATTAGATGACCTAGAATGCAGTTCAAAGCTCGACCCCAGGCCACTTCCCCAGGCAAACAGCTCATGACCTGATTCCCATACCCCAGAATTTAGCTCAAATAATAAAATATATAAAGAAAAATATATATTTTATTCTACAAAATTTAAAAAGACACAACAATGTTTTTAGATCGGAAATAAAGCTAAGCTTTTAGTCACAAGATTGTTTACATAACAACAGGTAGTTGATGAAACTGAGGACAATCTAAACTCTAGCCAAGTTTTTGGCAGCCAATTTCAGTATTAAGAATGACTTCCTTATTTAAGTAGATAAGAGATTTGTTACATTCTAGTAGATATAAAAAACTTAATTTAAAGACAATATCCTAAGATTGAAGGCACTTCTTTTCACAAAAAGTTCACAGAGTTCATTAGTACACCTATACAAATGGAAAACCTTTTGTATTGACGACAAGCATCCAAGCGAACCAAGTCAAAAACGAAATTTAAATTCTACAGTAATGTACTTACCATCAAGACTCAATGGTTCATAGTTGTTTCCGACATTCACTACTGGTGGGGGTGGGTTAGGAACTGGGACCTCAATCATTATGACAACAATCTCAACAGATTTTTTTTCTTCTGGAGAAGCCATTATGGAACCACTATTTTAACAATATGTGATTATAAAAAACATTACAACTTCCTTAGAAAAGGCAACAGTGCCTGAAAACACCTGTTGCACACAAATATCACAAAGAAATCAAAAGTAGGCCACTCAAGCCAATAAGATTTTTCACTGTTAAAAAAAAGTAAGCCACCTCCCACTGCAGCTGCAGAATATCTACTGAAATCAATATCCTGAGTGAATGACTGACTGACATACAGCCTTTACTTTAATTGCCATAACATGCAGATTTTATCTCCCTCCCACAAATGCACAGACTATATAAAACTAGGTTCAATGTAGGGAACATTTCCCCACTTTTAGGGGAAGTAGTGCATAACAAACATAACCTATGTTTCTTATTTGACATGACAGCTGATTTGTATGCAACTTTAAAATTCAATATCTCTGTGACAGACTTTAGCACGGAAATTACGTAAAATTATTATTCATTACTACTCTGATATTGTAAAGTGAAGAATTGTTGAGTATTTAAGAGTCTTAATTGTTACAAAACAAAATATTTACATTACATAAAAGAGGTTATTTTTTATGCCGAAATTTATGATTGATATTATATCGCTGGTTATGGTTCTTATTAACTTATATATTATAATGTTAACTAATGTTAATGAACCATTTTCTTTGACATGCATGAATATAAGCGTAGGTGTAAGTACAGCAATAACTTTCAAGGTTATATTAAATATTGCATAACAATAAAAATATATGGCTAAGCATGTCATTATGCGTATTATTCGCTTCCGAAATAGAATTTCATATATTTCTTTACTTAGCTGTTACTTTAATACAGGAATATCGCACGTTTATCTTAGATAACGCGCATTTTCGAAACAAATGAAGTTATACTTACTGTAGTTTCCCAGACAAAACAACCTTGTGAACTTAACAGTTATTGAAATTTACTATTTCTAATAACTCATAATAAATACTTGTGCAGATATATTTATTTACGCAATTTTTTAAGGTTTTTCAAACACATCCAATTTCTTGTCGAATTAAATGTCAAATCAATATGTCAATTGTCAAACACACACCTGACTCACCCGTTGTCAACGTCAAACATTTTTTTTTTCATGAATTGTCTGGCTATTTATAAATTGAGTCCGAAACTCAGTTACCTCAAAAAATGAAATGTTATTTACAGTTCATTTTGGTGGATTTATCCTGAAACAAAAGCGGTCCTGCGTCCCGCCTCAACTCAAACGTTAGTGAGATACCTACTACTGACACAGCCTGCAGATTCACACTTAATACATGTCGACCCTTGCCTTTAACCTATGTGCGCAGGGGAATAAGGTGTATTTAGCTCTAAGGTGCGCGTGATCCAGTCAAGTAAGGTTGCTCTTCGAGTCCTTAACTCACTTAGGAAGATAAATAACCTACTCATTATCTCAGTGCCTTGGGTTTAAAATATTGTTGTTTTGGCTGGGTGATATGTATCTATGTATTTTATGTTTATTAATGTACCCACTCCAGATAATCTTAGTTAAGGACGTAATAAATCTCCCTCGCCAACAATCCGATTGCCAAGTTACCTGAGTTCTCGGGATCGGTGCTATTCTTATAGAAAATATGGAATGAAAACAACCGTTTCAATAAAATCAATTTTTATTCTTAATACTATTTCACAAATAAATATCCAAATACCTTGATAAATACTTTTAAATGCAAATTGAAAGAATGTCGAAATAAATAAATCTTCAGTAAATAACTAAACCCCTTTCTCTCTAAATAAATTAAAACCATATAGATATTTCCTAATGCAATGACGCTTATGTCCTTTCTTGGTAATCAAAAACTCCTGAATATTTTGCGTTTTTCATTTAGGCTTGTTTATTAACAACATTATAGGAATGAATAACATCATGTTTTTATAAGTTTCTGGTTGCAATAGGAATAAGCATCAATGTCCATCTAAATAAAATCTGATATACAAAACATTTATTGTTAAATAAATAAGTTAATGTTCACACCAATTTGAAAACACATTGAATCAATACTGCATCGAGACAATGAAAAGACAATATTATCAAAACATACATAATCTACATGGATTATGTTTCACGTGGGTGAGCATTCAAGTGATATCCCTTCAAAAATATACTGGATACAGGTGTTAATACAGAAGAGGTATAGGGTAAAGAGTATTTGCTTTATTAAAACATTTCGATCATATTGCCACACACACGCCCACGTTTAACATAAAACTCATACATGCAAGTCGTGTAGAGTATAAACATTAAAATACGCACAACATAGATCACATGTAATATAAATATACTAGAACAAGTCTCGCGTTGTCTGTCTCAGTTCACAAGCATTTAAATACTTCCACCTTAAGTCGGTTGGCTACCATCGCCCGCCTATTTTAGTGCATTTCTGAGAACGATTCCATTTTCAAGAAACAATTACAACCTAAACTTCCACCAACAAATACACACATAATTATATATCCACCAGGAAAATAGACAAAGGATAAGCAATGTCTACTAGTAACTAGACATAGGATATTAGTACAAAACATCTACAATTATGACACCATACCCATTTTCATTAACGTCTTCAATTTATATCAAATATGTATTAATTATTATGTAGGTTCCATTCAATTACTATTATAATAATTTATAATAAGAATTGTCCATTAATATGATAAAATCACCTCAATTTTACATGTATTGTCTTCTGTCAGACACTATTACCTAATTAGCAATTCCGGATTCAATTATTAAATGAAACAAGTATGATATGCACTTGTTGCATTTAATTTAAATAACACTCAGATACCATAACCTATTAACAGTTCTAATTTTACAGGATTATACCGCCATGATAGACACAAAAGGTCAAGAATGTCAATAATAATAATATAATCATTTTGTGAAATGAGAAGTCCTATCCTATCAACAATTACTTACAATTTTATGTGTGATCTAGAATGTAGCCCGTTACGTATAAATACGATAAATTTAATATATTATTATACCCATCATCATTATCTATTATGGATTAAAAAAAGAGGCAGCCTCTGCCTATATTTTAACAACGCAATATTAGTCAAACTAGTAAAATCCAACGACCCTAAGAGTCTTGGAATACATGGAAACTACAATATCTTTGATTTGAGCCTCAATCTGTCATTATAAAGTACATATCTCATTACAAACTCGACAGTCCTTTACACAAATATTTTTTCAACCAAGATGATAAACATCAGTCCAAATATAGTAGCTTCAACTTAGGTTGCGTTCGAGGACGCCATTGTCAATTATCTAGATAACTATAACGAATACGATACACAATTATATTAAACACAGCATTCGCTTTACAGTTTGTAACGAAAGCAAATTATTACACTTACTTACCTCACTAGAAATTACACAATGTGACTTCCAAAAGACCGATATATATAAAAAATACATAGTATAATTTTGAATATTATCACCAACGAAGCTCGTAAACCGCACTGGCAACCACCGGGAAGGAAGTAAAGGAGTAAAAACCTAGTAATTTGAGTCACATTGAAGACAATCACATAGGAGTCCTTCACCTTTACAGGGGCTCTAGATTTCATGTCCGTTTTAATCGATATCGATTAATACGGACATGGAGCGTGGCGCACGTCGGTTGCTGTAGGCAAATGAACCATGGATGGGTACGATACAATTATATCGTAAGGCACAGCACTATTCTTGTTTAATAGCTTCAAGACGTTGCATCACCGCAACGAAATCACTCTCAGGGAGTGGGGTGCAGTGCGATGATCTGTAGTCATGCAGGTACTTTTGAATCTGAAAACAGAATTTATTGTATCATTATAGATATTAATAATTACAAATTATCAAAACATATTAGTATTCCATTAAATAATAATTAAATAGTGGTAGAAAGTACTAGTTATTCCTAACTAAACACGTTTCACGGTGATATAAATATCCTATACCAAGAAACTGCAGAACTTTTAGATTAATTAATAGCATTTACATGAATTTAAGACGTCCGACTTAAACTCTTGCAAACATAAACTAGCGATTTTCCATAAGTAATAGAGCAACTGGTTTACACAGACAAAATGACAAAAAAAGTTTTGACTTTACAATACTAAAGGTCAGTTACCAAAGGCAGCAGTGGACGCTCGCTTTCTTCAATCTCGTTCCTTTCGACGATGTTGCGCTGAAGATCCATGAGGGCAAGCAATTTAATAAGAGCCACACGGATGTAGGGATCCTCCATAACTTTAGGGTGTCTCTTGTCCAACAGCTTAATCAGCAGATTGTTGCCGCGGTTCGTCGAAAGGATACCTTGCCTGAAATTGATAGACTTGTGTGATTATTTCTATTACGTACGTATTAGTTGGGAAGATACATATTCCTTTTTAATGTAATGGGGACGCAAAAACAGCATTTTATAAAGACGAATATAAATTTTATAGCATGAAAGTATGGGTTAATTTTTTTAACAACCTTTATGGCTTAGTACCAGTTAGTTAATAGAAGTAAAACGGGGTGAATAGAATTTTAGGGGTGAATGAAGATGTTGGCGAATTTTCCTAGTATCTCTAATCACCCCCTCGAATACTATTCACCCCGTTTTACCGTTAATTAGGCAGTTTCTCAGTCAAAAATAAATTATAAAATCTCTATTTTTGATTGTAACCGATGAGATTCGAAAATGGAACTAGAAGCACTTACTTCTCGCTGTTCAACCTGTGAAAAAGTCGGATGCGCAGTCCTCGTGACAAGCAGGCATGTGCAAAAAATATGTTTTTAAAGCTAAATATAATTAGGCATATTCACAAGCAGTGTGCGACGTGTTTAAATAATCTATGATATTAAAAAGGATTGTAAAATGTGTTGGTAAGCGCAGAACTCCCAACGCCTGGACCAATGTTAGAAATTTTTAGAAAAGTATATGGGAAAACTGAGACGTAGATACCCTTTTGTCGTAACCGAGGTAGTAGTACAACCGCAAGAAGGCGCCAGCGGCTTGTGTATTAAATAAATGTACAAATTCATAACAACACCAAAACATAAGTATTTTTATATAAATAGGTAAAGAATAGCTTCAGTGTTGCTATTGAAACGCAAGACTAATTTTTTATACTGATCGGGACTTGTTATTTTTTAAGAAATGAAATGCATGCATCATTTTGCTTACCTTACCTGATTTATTATATTGGTTATATGTGATGACCAAGTTGTTTTGTGTTAAAAAAAGGTTCACTGACAAGCCATAGTATTATTATATTCACAAGGAGCCGAATGAATGTGTACTAAGACTACATTATATGTATGAGTATACATATACACATACTATCATAATATCATGTCGTGGTGGCTCGGAGGTTAAGGAGCCCGCTCCTCATGCACGAGGGTGTGGGTCCGAAACCTGGCAAGTACCAATGTGACATTTTCCGAGTTATATGTACTTTCTATGATTATTTAGACAGCGCTGACATACGTTTGAAAGAAAGAGAAAGTTAGAAATCGCCAACCCGCATTGAGCAAGCGTGGTGATTAATGCTCTAACCTTCTCCGTATGAGAAGAGGCTTTTGCTCAACAGTGAGCACTTATAGGCTGATGATGATGATACTATCATATGTATACTACATTCATTCGGCCCTTTTTGGCACCTTTTTGATGAGGGGAAATCATAAATATTCTTCTCTCGCCTTGGATGGGGTGAGAGGAAGTGCAAGTCTTGTCTTACTGGCTATAAACCACCCCATTCTTTCTCCAGCTCAAGGCCGCGGGCCGCGGTACATTATTGAACGTGAACTCGCAACCCCACATGTAAGCATGGCAATACCACATGTAAGTCAAATAATTAAACCACTTACAAGTTATAAGCAAAAAAATTTAAAAAACTAAACATGATCGTTCTTTAAAAATCTCAAGCACGGTGAAGGCACTCAAAGCTGCCCAATGCCAAAAACCTTTACCGCTGCGAAATATAGAATAAATTGTCAGCAAAATTAATTGACTGATTTGCGAAAAACAGTGACTCTCTTTTCTATTGGTGCATTGGATACATACCGCAAGCTAATAATCTCATCTTCAGTGCGGCGGATTATTTTCACAGGTCCATTGTACTTGGTGATCAGATCAGCTATGTTCAGATCCACGTAGGAGCGAACTACTTCCTTCACAAGTAGGGCCCAGGACGATGGCATCTGGTTCTGGGCGAGTGGCAGAAGATCATCGAAAGTAGCGTCCAAGACCTAAAAATAAATTAGTGAATGTTTAATTTCATGTAGTTATAAAAAGGTTCTTTACAGAACGAAATCAATAAGGAAAATGTACCTTCCTGTTATGAACGATTTTTGACATTAATTGTATGGGGATTTTGACGAAAACTTAGCTCGATATTCAGGTACCGTTTGGTTGGATTTAATATTTTTTTTCGCTATATCTAATTCATTTCGCCATTGCGTGGATAAAATAAATGCTAGTTACAGCTTAATCACACTTTTATAATATGTCACTAAATAAATTGCATACAGCATTTCGCTAGCTACAATATAAAAAGGCGCTGTAGCAGTTAAACATAATAATAATGGCACAGCTTAATCTATTATAATCAACTAATAGTACGGTAACGAGTAATTCATTTGTTTTATTACTACTTATTGTTTTTTTTTTTCTTCTTTAAAATTTTTCATTTTCATTGCTCTCAATTAGAGTTATTATTCCAGACACGGCCATAAAAGTTATTGAGTAAAGGGGAACTAACCAAGGCTCCGATTGGATAGTTGACAGCAGCCCAGGTCGCGGTGTATCCTCCGATGCTCCAGCCCAATAGCACAATGTCCTCGGGACGGAAGCCTAGCTCGTTGATAGCGTACTGCATCACTGCGTCAATCGCATTATGCTCCTGAGATGGATACGGCAGGCCCTGAACCAAGAAATTACAAAATATGATTAGAAATAATAGAATATTCTAGTTGTTGTAATTTTAATAAGAAATGTTACATACACTGCTTCCAGCGAATCCAGGGTGATTCCATCCTAATGCCGAATACCCACACTTTATGGGCGTAGTCATGATCCCGATTTCATAGAATCCAGAGTTTCCTTCGCAGCACACAACCAGGGTCTTACCCTTCACGGAACGAGTGCGGTTGTCCACAAACATTGTATCAATAGTGTTGCCATCTGCTGTTCCGATTCGGGCTCGCTTCCCACCATATTTTTCTACGAGCACAGCCCTTCCTAGTAAGAGGGCAGCCCCTGTAAGGACTAAATTTAACAACGAATCCATTGGACGATATGTCTGAATAAGACATCATATTAAAACAATGTCAATATTCAGGCATAGATATTTTTGTAATGTGGTACCTGGACCTTTATTTCGATGCGCTCACGTTGACGACTTCTTCATATTGGCAATCAGAACTAGACTTTAGAGAATAGAGACTGGTGGCCAAAACCTATATCGGGTGTGTCGTCAAGGTAATGACAAAGAATGTGGTTGTGGATAGTCTTGATGAAGGTCCTTAAGCCTTAAAGTTCTATAAAAAGATTATAATATTATGGGGCAATGGAATAAATCAACATCCCAAAGAATATGTCTTGAACCCATTGCTTTATGGCAGATAATGCTACTTCAAAAGGATGCGCAAATACTGATCAATTTAGCCCTCATTTGGCTAAAGACTTGTGCTGATTTTTATCCTTCCAGAAAAATACCTGTAAAAATAATCCAAAAAATTTCTCCTTTTCATAACTTTGCTTTTCACATAGCATTGTGGACGGAAGACAGCAGCAGTAAAACACCGAAATACAGCCGAAGCTGGTCGTACATCCATGTTGACGGGGCCCAGAGAAAACACCTGGCAGTATATATACCTGGCAGTTAACAAAAATATCTTTTCCTGAAATATCTTCTCCTAGCTTTAGTACTTACATAGCAGAGAGTTGACAACGGTCAAAGATCCTGGGTAAATAAGTCTCAGGCCGAAGGTATGCACAGCGCAGAACGCCAGGATCTGAAGAGGGACACGTTTGTAGAATCGAAGGTCTGCGTTGGAGCAACATCGGAAGGGGTGGTGTTGATACCATTTCAACCTAAAAATAAAATCAGGTTATCATAATTTTTATTTATGCTGTTTAAGCTGGGCTCGGTTTAAGAAAAATCGGAGTGATTATTTTTAAAACAATCGAGTATTTAATATTAAATCATGAAAATGATATTAGTCATCACGTTTTCATTTTATCACAATATACTTGGTATCCGTATTTCGTATTAACTAATGAAGTTGAATAGCTAGAACCATTCCAATATTGTTAAAGGTAATAAATTTAACTAAGTATGATTGTCTATCTAAAATACTGAAAAATTAAAAATTATTTTTACTTGATCGTATTAAATAAACGTTCGATGTTCGTAATATTTCAATAATCACAAAGGTCCACAATAATCCTCCGTTTAGTCCAATAAAATAGTGGTCAATCAATATAAAATATAACAGTGTTTTTCTCAGATTGTGTTATGCTATAAGAATCTTTCTTTAAAAGAAGTCTGTGTATTTTTGTCTCTGCAACAGCTTGGAAAGAAGGAATATGGTTTTTGATGAGAAACAAAAATAAAATGAAATGTAACTGAATATGAGAATTGAGATATAATATTTAAAAAGATGATATGTATACTATCGGATTGATTTACAATACATTATAAGTATTATAAATATGATTTGTAACATAAAGAAACTCAGTAAGTGACATTGTAGATACATATATAAAAAAATATATAGGCATGTTTGAGGGCAGGTACTTACCCTTGATCAATTGGATCCATTTTTATAATTGGATCACTTGCACTACTGAAAATCAATAAACAACAATTAAATAAATAAATATACTAACAAAGCAGTAATCTAGATGTAATATAGTATTTTAAAGGCTACTAAGTGGATGTCTACCGCCTTATAGTGATGATGATTATGATTAAAAATAATTAAAATCATGCAATGTCATACCTGTACAACATACTACATTATACATTAAGAATAACAATAATATGAAGACTACATAAGTCAGAAACATAGCGTACCTTGGAGAAGCCAGTTGTTAAAATTTGTTTGGCCCTTATGAAGGTTGACAATATTTATTTATAGATATATAGATGTGATACTACTTAAAATGAGAAATCCCACTAAAAGTATGTAATGGCGGAAAAAGGTAATTTCTTTACTATTTATGAATTCTAAATGCTAGTGCAGTTTGAAAACAGAATGGAAATATTTTTTAATGTGTTTAAATGTTTGTTTGAGTGTGTTAGCATACAACTAAGCCGCAGAATTAAACTCATTTGATTGGTTATTTATTTATCAATTCTCAGGGACTTGACACAGGTAATTATTTTCACATTTTAAAATGGTCAGTCATTTATTACACCAAGACGAAATAAATTCATAGAAAAATAACAGCTTTTATTTCAACAGCGGCGTTAGATCATTTGCGGTTTATGTTAAATATATTTAATATCTGTTGATATTTTCCTTTACTATATTATCACTACTTTAGCATCAATAAAATAAAAAAACAAATAGCAGTTAGGTACAATGTGAGTTGATCGGATGTTAAGCACCCTCTATTAGCATTGGAATAGAAAAACAAATGACTTAATTTTATTTGCATTAAACTCTACATTAATATTTAAACATACAATCTTTCTCGAAATAAAAATCCTTGATTAACATAAAGAACCACTCAACACATTACAACCACTAGGTACTTCGAAAAGTTTTAATACACTTACCTCTCTTTGCTTGCCACAGTGAAAGTAACTGGCCATGCTTTAATATCAAAATCGTACTTCCTCAGCTCTGTTAAATAAGCTTGTTTGTCAGTCATAGCGTGTTTTATGGTGTCCACAAACTGAAGATACTTGGGGTTTAAGGATCTTCCATAAGCTCGGATTAAGAACGAGAATGCTATTAGACAAGAAAGGCCACCAAAGATCCGAGCCATTGACTTTACCTCATCAATCGACATGAAGCCTCGCTTGTATATGTAGAAGGAAATAAAAGGCGAGGTATATAAACTAATGTTTAATAGTGTATGAGCCTAAAACAAAACAAATATGTTATTTTTAGAATATTCTAACAATAGTAGTTCTATAAGTACTATAATAAGATTAATAACTTACTGTTATTATTATTTTGTCGCCCCATTTTTCGTATCCTACGGGCTGGTACACCGACTGAAACAATCATTTATAGTTTACCTTTTTTATTTTTAGATATTTGTTACAAAAACAACTAAGAATAGTACAGCAGTACAAGTTAGCCTAAGTAATCATATTACATATGACTACCCACTCACTCAGTGTGGGTGACCAAGTTATCTGATGCCTAGAAATGTTGACATTTTCATCTTGTTGATTTTTACTCCCACACGCCATATCTCAATAATTGATGTAGGAGTAAAGTAACAACTATAAATAATTAGCCAATTGTAATTGATACCCTGAGTCTTAAAATAACTAGGGATTCTTATTTTCTGATTGTTATTATCAGCAATTATAAATAACAAAGACAAGATATCTAATAATATTTTTCGATAGCAGCCCAAACTAGAATGAATTGCAGACATATGCCAGAGATAAGAAGCCCAGAGATGTTAGTGGCACTATCATAGATTGTAATAGGTTTTTGGTCATTCCCGTGGTATAAAACAAGATTGAGTTCAAGTTTATTTAAGAATTTCATCTCTATTTACTAAGCTACAAAATGCAGAACATATTGTTTCTTTTTCGCTTTATCAATAAATCTGTAAGTAATTACGGTATCTAGATTTTAGTACTGCAACATAACATAGGATTTTATAGTCAATATGATTATTAAATTATATAGATTATCAAATTCTGTATCAGTTGTGTTGGCATACTACATTTTAAGATCATTAAAAAAAACAGGCAGCAGTACTACACTCTATGCCAAAAATTTAATCCTCCAATCCAAGTAAAAAACAGAAGGTGGTCAATCATATTAAAAGGAAGCAAATAGCCTGACAGTAGATGGATGGGATGGTGGTGGTGGATGGCTGATGATTCCTGCTGAACAGATACTATAGAATACGAAAACCTCATTATACCTTGAATAATAAAACATCTTGTATTTTATGTCTTTGTTATTATTGTACACCTACAAATAACAAACATTTCAGAACTCGGTTGATTAATCTCATTGATTTATTCGTTTTAGTAAGAATCTTATTAGCATGTAAATATTTTACAAAAATGATGAATTGATTCATGTATGTCAGGCAGAAGTGAGGAGCCACATCAGATTTTTTATGTAGCAATGTAGCCTATTTTGCAGCACGAAGTCTAGATATAGCAGCAAAATATATCACTAGTTATTTTAATGAAAAGGCGGCCCCTCTCAACCTAAATATTTGGATTGAGGAGCCACATGGAACTCGTTGAATAATAGATGGGTAATTATGAAAATTTTGTATCATTTAGCAGCAATTTTACATATTACCATCCAAAATTTTGCTTCAGTAACCCTGAATTAAAAGAAAATACGATACTTTTAATATGGCTCCTCAATCTAAAGAAAGAGGTGCATTTCTATTGAATGTGGAAGATCAATTAATATATTCGACATAATTATCATTTAGCAGGTGTTGTGTGCATAAAACAGAGTAATTTTGTATATTAATGCATTTTCTTTGGGTCCTCAATCTTGACATTCTAATTATAACATATATTTTTGACTGTAGCCACCTGAGATTTCAACAGAATCTAAAGCCAGAGATACTAACATTTAGCAGAAATGTTTGCTTAATGTGTCTACACAGTTCAGCAGTCCATATACATATTTTGGATTCTGATAAAACCATACTTAACTATTTTCTTGTAAATTATGTGTGTAGGGTGACCCATAATGACCATTAATTAATATATATCATATAAAATAAAAATAATTGTTATTAAAATTTCAATAAAATATGACACATCATACCAAATTCAAAAAATTATGGATAACCTTTTGTTAACAATAAAATTGTGTTCTTGTTCCTTTTAATTATTAATTTATTTTATTTTTAGCATTTAATGTAATCCAAAAATTTTTGGTACATATTTATATTTGTCTGGAAGTCAACAGTTTGGTTTTAATATTATCTCCAAGTATTTTCTCTATTCATTAATATACTGTCCTTTTATTTTGTGAGGAGATAATTATTTATTTTATCAATTTTCCATCTTTTGTAAAGGACCAACCAACTGTATGGTTGTGATAGGATTTGGTTGGTGGTTACAAGGGCATTTGTGGTCAACGGTGAACTACACCCTACCTGTTTGGCAGTTTTCAGGAACGCGACCGGAGTTTTTAAATCTGAACAAATCAGATTTAAAAACTCCGGTCGCGAATGGCTACGTGGGCATGGCGAGCTTAGTGGGGCTATCCCCTTGCCGAGCCTTGTTTTTTTTGCTCAATAGGACAATAATAATATATTCATTGGAGTAGGAGGATACAGTTAAACTGCTCTGGTAACACAAATATTTTAAATTTAAACTTCTTATTTTATTCTTATAAATTTTCATGTTCAGAACAAGTCACATGGACAAGAAAATAAAATTTTAATACCAAAATACTTACGTCTTTTGGTCCATCCCGGTACACCTTGTATAGACGCGGTGAAAACAAACACTGCCAAATTTGCTTCATTGTAAAATGTTCCTGTAAGCCGATTTTACATAGAATTAATAGACATATCAGTTAAATACCGTAATATTACGTGTTTATTTTCACAACAGAATTAATTATTTATATTGCACCACGATGAAAGGCCAGATACATTACCCAAGGATTTTTAAGAAAACGGTAATATTTGTTACTTACTTATATTTTTTTGTGATTTGAGGATAATTTAATATGTAATTATTAGTTTATCAATGAAATAGCATTAGGCATGTAGACCGTGCCGTGTCGGTCGTCTTCACAACACAACCATAGACATAGACTAACTGAAAATCAATATTTCTCATTTCATCTGTTTCATAGACAAGTTTCACATGTTACGCTTAAGGGGTATGAGCTATTTTGCTCCTTGTGTTTCTATCTAAAAATTGAAAAAACTATAACTTTACAATGTCACCTCATAACTAAGGTGTCAAGCAGTAGAAGCTGGAACAATAATATCTAGTTTTATATGAATAAATAAATATCCATCATCCTCTATCCTTGTGCTATCAAGCAAAAACTTAATAACGGGCGTTTCGTTCTTTTGTCTGGCTAATGAAAACAATTTTGAGTCGAAACTTTTTGTCCTTTTATCTACCTTTATTTTTTCTTGATGTGTGCTGACTGCGTTTATAATTTATTATACTTATTTATAAATGTTTTTTAAAATAAATAGTTTATTGTTTTTTTTTCATCTGTGAGCCCCAAGATCACCGAGTCCTGAGTAAAAACATTGTTGTTACAATTAAAATCATCGCTGAGCTCTTCTCGACTGTTTGTTTCGCACTATGGTCAAAATTAGTCTTTTAAGTTACAAAGGCAAATTAATATTTTATTATCTATGCATTCTGTGATTCTGTGATCATCTATTTTTTTTGTTAGTCTATGTTTATCTCCGTCACCGACTGTGGGATTGTTTTTGTGAAGAATTGATATTTTTAACAGTAAAGAATAAAAAAATATTAAAACAGATTTAATGTAATCGTCATGAAACATGATTTATTTAGTGAATAAAATTGTATTGTGCGTTTTGGTGGTTGCTGCAACGGTGTCCTGCAGAATACACAAACTGCATCTTTCGGTAAGCATAATGATTATAAACTGTAGGCAAATTACCAAAGTTGCACTTCAAACGGTTCATGGAGACCATATGGTTATGAAATTAAGTTTATTGGGTGCTTGCTAAGTTTTAAGATTTAAACTAATTATTTGAAGCTGTGTAGGGTTCTCACAAACCACTTTTTGATACCTAACAGGATTTGTGTACAAAATTAAAATAACATTGACAAAATTTCGACATCTTTTTTGAGAAATAAAAGAACATTAATAAATAATTATTTGATAATCATTCACTCAAAATAAATAGGCATATTTTTCTTAGTATAGTTATATTTGTTCAGCTGAATTATATTGATAAGCATGTAAATTTATTGCTTAGGGATCACACTATCTGAGACAGCTAATTTGAGTGAAGGAATTCTTTGCCTTATCTTTGTTGGGAATTAAGAAGTATTTACTGAAGCAGTATCAATGTGTAATTTACAACCAAGAAAATGTTAAGTTTTTTCTATTTTTCAATTGTGACGACAGCTGATTTATTTGCATTTTGTCACTACTATTGTATTATATCACTTATTATATAAATATAGGTATCTATGTCAATAAAGGCGTATTCCTTGTGTGTATGTGTACAAGTAACAGCTGTATTTATTTTGAACAACTAATTTCTTGGGTTTAATAAGTTTATAACAATATGTAACATGTGTACTGCCAACACAAACCTAAGCTTGTGTAGCACAAAAAGAATTGTTTCCCTTAATCTTAAAAAAGGGTGCTAATGAGGTTATCCTTAATAAAAAAAACCTGGTACGTAGAACTTCCTTAACTCTATTGCGTAGAGCGGACTGTAAGCCATCAGATTTGGTTTTCATCCAAGGCCAATGGCAGTCATTCTTTGTGACAGTGACAAGAAGTAATTAGGACAAAGTTACTTGAATAGAAATGGTTAATACTAAATTTGAGAAGATTAAGGCTTTCCTTTCCAGTCAAACAAAATTAATTAAGTATTTGGATATTATTCAATGACAAAATAGGGAATCAAATATTTTTCATTACAGATAAGGAAATCCAAAGGGCTCCAATATGTAACTGCCATACCTAAATATCTCTTGATTAATTTCAAACCAGATTTCGGCCAGTCTGTGTGACAAGACAAGCCAGAACACACCCAAAAAATGTGCATCTGGTCTGAATATCCCCACTCTCCTAATTCACTTGAGCAGCAATCCTGCACAATCTGTAAGATATTTCATGCAGGACTTAACCCACAGTATACTGGATTTCCGAGGCACAATTTCCTGACCCTGCCCCAGAGAGGCTAATTTTAAAAACATTTAGTTTTTTAAAGAATTAAAAATAAATTTGTTTTTTGTTTATTCTTCACTCTCTGCATTAAACTCTAATGGACACCAAACTTCAATGACAAACAGATTGACAGACAATCCATTGTTTTTGATGTTGTAAAAGTGCCTGTTTTTGACTTTGAATGGAGAAGAATGTTAAAAAATTAAAAATATTTTTTATAATGATGGAACTTTTAGATATCCTCCTTTAACATGGATGTGCTTACAAACATACAACTATAAGCACATCTTTGCCCATTACAACAATTTGAATCCCTCAAAACATAGCACAGCTGCCAAATGTATAGTTGTTGCATTGCCACAAGCGTCCAGGCAAATTGGTCTATTGTTAATCGAATAATTATGATAACTACTAGTATTTTAATGATTACGCCGCAGTTAATTAATTCAAATGATGTTACAATTAGGTTAGTAACCATTTTGTATTGTGAAATGAAATTTGGCATTTTTTATGGTACTGTGATATTAATAAGACCATTAGCACTGAACTGGAAATCATTAAAAAACTGAACAAAATTAATTAATAAGTATTATTTTTAACTTTACATGAATTTCTTGTTTTAGAACATAATTACAAATTTATTTGTATTACATACATACATATATCTTTAAAAGTCTAAATACATGTTGAACTTTTATCTTCTTGATTGAATTTTGGTCTAGAAGACCAAAATTCTAATTGATAGAATTTCAATTTCTTTGGTAACTGATCAACTGACTAAAATACCGAACACTAAGTAGAAAACTCACTTTTTTGGGAGACAAGCCTGCAAGTTGCTGATGGCTAGTTCCAATTGTACTAAACTAGCATCCTTGACAATATCCTCATGGAAGAGTAGAAATCCCTTATCTGCCGTTTCATGAGACACAATAAAAAATGACAATAGAACATGCATTGTGTCTTGCTTCTATATAATATACATTCACACCACAGGCTATGCATGAACATCCATCAGTCTGAAGTAAGGACATAAGGATTTCAGACAGTGCTTGTAAACAATTTTAATATCAATAGAACTACGAGTTGAATTGATAACTTATAAACACAATCCATCTGTTGAAGCTAAGGACTCTGTTTCTTAGTGGGAAAGAAATAAGCATTATTACTATACCTGGTCTAGATGGATTGGTCATTGCAGACCTATTAACTTCCTATCCTATTTATATTAGACCACAATATTTTCTAGCATCATATGCTATGTAGATCTTCAACTTCTAAAGTAGTAGAAGAGGGAGGGAGTCTAAGGGGAAAATATTATTATGTCAATTTAGCTACCACTTTAACCGATCCCCATAAGTGGAAGTCTTAAATATGTAAATGGTTTAAAGTATGGGAAAACATAAATAATCCAATTTAATTTCTAATCACCCTAAAATTTAGGGTGATTAGAAATTTAATTAGGGCCTAAATGAATCTTAAATATCGATTATTTTAAATAGCCTAAGACAGTCTTATAAGACCTATCGTCTCCATATGTCTCCATCTGTGGCGAATATTAAACTTCAAAAAACATATTTGATATTTGTTATAATGAATTTTAAGCGAAACCTTGCGTTCCCTTCTTGCCGCTTACTTGCGACGCCAAATTAGCGTCAAGTATAGTATCCCAATTACGTCAACGTAGTGCTATTCAACTGGCATTCGGAAAACGGACAAATATGTATATATAACAAACACTTGTAGTGTTTCATTCGTAAGACTGGACTGCTTGAATGGATTATATACACACAAACTGTTTCTTTGCCCTTGGTCTATTGTACTTGTACACAATCCTTCCGCGCTTCGCATGAACAGAAATTTACCTTTTTTGTATCATTTAAAGTAGGTATTTATTATATTAAAACGGTATGCTTTGGTGTTCAGTTTGTCGATCACATTGCTACTACCTAATTGTTATTTTGTAAATAGGAATGAAACGAACTAACAAGTAATTATTAGGTATTCCTTTTTTGAAATTATTATTCTCCCCGGATGTTTGTTCATAATATAGTAAAATGGCAATTAGGTGTACACAGCATTCGTTTCATGTATAAATCTATAATAAAAGCCATTATACAATAGGCTTGAGTTTGTACAACGATTTTTTTAAGTTTTTATGTAGTCACAGCCGACCGCATTTAGGTACTAAAAAAAATTCTATTTACATGTACTGAAATTTGATTTTAAAATGTGTAGGTTTACAACAGAAGCCCGTGTTGATATGTTACATAATTAATTATACTATACCTATATCTATATATGCGCCCGTACTTCGACGTTGGTTGCGCTGTTTTGGCATAAATTGTAAAGAATCAAAGGTTTACATGAAACTACTACTGAGTGCTCGTTATATGTCCTCGTTTATCGTATATTGTATAATTTATTAAATAACTTTATTGGCTTTGTTTAATCGTCGTCAGCTAGCGAAATTCCCCAGGAGACTACCTGTATAAAATTGCCGCTAAAAGCCATGTCACCGAATCTGAGTTAAGATTCTAATAGTAATTAAGGCTTATTCGCCAGTGTGCCATTCTTAGGCTGAGCTTAGTGATACTTTCGGCCTACAAATAATTGGCGTGAAACAAAGCTTGCGTTGTCTTTTGACGTGTGAGTCAGGTTATAGAAGGTCAAGTCCTCGTCAGAGGTCAAATCTTCATTAGTTGTTAATGGGCGAAATTGATTTCTCAAATCAGGTGACCGGATCTTTCGGTTGCCAACAATTGATGAGAGCAAAATCGTAATTTTTTTGTGCAACTAGTTCCTTAGTTATTTAGAGAATCCTATGGCGTCATATAGTATTTATATTTCATATACCCTTAGACCCACATACATATATTCGTCAACAATGCTAATGCGACTGCTGTTCTGTGTTTGCGAACTAAACTCGTTCTTTTTCCTGTTGTGCGTAATGCTACCGGTAGGTTTGATAAGAAAACAATCGACGTGCTCGTCTTTTTCGAGGATAATGTGAAACAATCCGCAATTTCTAAAGTACCTAGTTAATTATGGGCAATTGGTAATACAAGTTCAGTTAGAAAAAGTCCACAATATACACGGATAGTTTGTATTTTTTCCGTAATATGTTCATTAATTCATTAAACTCCGAGCGAACGCCGGCGTTCGTGCACCGATTCTGTCTCTAATTCCACGATCGAAAGGTTAAGATTATACTAATATTACTCGTAATCTTTGAAGAACAAGCTAGGTAAAGATGAACGATCAAAGAGCGATTCTTTCCATACCATAGAGTTGATTTTCGTAATACCTATGACAACGTCTGTAGGGTCACTGATGTGCGTATGATAACAACATACACGTATTAGTTCTGTTTAGTTCTGTTTAAAAGTGTTTAAAGGCGACTATGTATTTATTTAAATACTAGCATTCAAATATTATTCCCGTTCTTAATGTTTTGTGTAACATAAGTGTTGCTTGGCTGTTTCTGTTTTACAAGTTGTGTTGTGCGATGAGAATCACTTTGCATCTTTATCAGCTCTACGCTATTTTCGTACACATCTTGCTCTGCGAACTTCTTTGTCGTATTTTATAAGTATTCGAATTTATTCTCTTCTCAAATACTCATTGTACCTATCATATTACAGTGATTTTACTATTGTAGGTACACAGCTACAATGTTCTGGAAAATTCCTAGCATAGAAAATTCAAAAAGTCCACTTCGCTCATTAAATATTATCAATAAATATTTTCTATACTACGAATGGGATGGAATAGGATAAGCTTAATGTACCTAGAATTACTGATTAAAGTTTTAAACGCTGGCGTATACAAATAATTACTATAATATAATTGCATGATTTTCCTTTGGAAGTATAATTATTCGTGATATTGACATGCATAATGATCGAATCATTATGCATAAGGGTCGCTGAAGCGAAAAGATTATTACAGCGATTGCTTAATCACAGTTGACGTTCTCGTCTGAATGTTGCCATGAGTTGTCAGTTATTGTATTATAATATCATTCAAAATCATAAGCAGACTGTCTACTAGCTAAATAAATCTTTGGGCTCTTCCGCACTGGCTTTGCTTTCGTGCCACACACACGTCCTTTCTTTTATAAAGGAATCTCTTTTATATTAGCGAATTTCTCTGATCAAGTATCGGTGGATGGAAATCTATTGTGACATTCACATAAATCATCCTAACGGACGAATTTCATAAGTGTTGAGTTTTTATACCATAACATTTTGTTTAAGTACACATTAATTTATGCTGCTCTTTCTCTCTCTTTCTTTTACAAAACTAAGAAATATGCAATTAAATAATGTAACATTTCAGGACGATGAGCGACGCTACGTAGATCTCACGACCTTCGGGTTCTTCAAGGGCGGTATACTCGACGTTAAGTTGGTGGATTTCATGATGCCGTCGGGTCCTGTTTATGGAGAGGTAAGATTGCTTTACAATCCCTCAAATGAATATAAAAATATAAAAGCTACTGACGCGTATATACGTACGTGACTAACGAAATACTTGAGTTAATAGGACAATTCTTTTCTATCGAGTTCATCATATAATTATAGCAAAACCTGGACACGGCTTTTATATAAAAAAGTCAGATTCGCTAGATATATAAATATTGCTTCCAACAGGCACACGTAAAGTATAAATATTTCTACGAATTTCGCCCGTCTATCGATTTTTTAATACTTAATAAGGTCGTCGTATAATAACTGAGCTCTCTCATATCGATAACAAACTACTAGGTCATATTGATCTAAAATGCAGCTATGTAATCGTTCGTCACAATATTGACAGTATTTTGATCAGAACATATATTATTGACTTTATTTATTACTAGCCAGTCTCGCGTGGTTTCATCCCGCTGCTCGGCTCTATTTGATGGTGGCGTGATGTCTTACAGCCTTCCTCGATAAATGGACTAACGAAAACAAAAATAATTGTTCAAATCGAGTCAGCAGTTCTGGAGATTAGCGCGTTCAAACAAACTCTACAGTTTTACAATATTAGTGTAATGCAGTTTTTTTTTTGTAAAGGCCAATGACTGACACCGTTTTACTTGGCTTAGTGCAGTAATTCCTCTTTTGATACAATTTGCGGAACTGAGAATGGGCCAGTACAAACTAAGAATTGAATTGTCCGGTACTGGAAATAGAAATTAGAATGCTTGGTACCATAGCAAATGTACCTAAATACTTTAGCGCGATTGTTTACAACTACACAATATTTTCTGTTGTTTGAGATTAATAAAATAAATACTGATGATCGGGGCTCATACATAGTGTGAACGTTCTAAAAAGTTCTATTTTCTCTTTATATCCGAACTAATAATTATTATACATAAAAAGTGGAAATCTAGAAAGGATGAAGCCTCCAATAACCTCACTGTTAAGGCGAAACACAATATTACAAGGGTTAACGCCGGTATTCTTTAAGGCCGTGCCATTACTGCAGTTTATGTGGCCCATTCAATTGTAGAAACCATGATTTTACTCATCATCAGGGTGAATGTCCACTGTTGGATAGGCTTCTCCAATTGCCCTGAGCTCTCTGAGCTCGATGTTCAGGTCTTCTCGTCCAACCACAACCAGCCATCTTGCGGATATTGTCCGTCTTCTTAGCTGGAGGGCGCCCTACACTATGTTTGCCTAAACGTGGTCTCCATTTCAACGATTCCACTATGTAAATATTCTCATAAGAAAGAAAATGCTTATATATCAAGGTAAACAATAGCGCTTAAGTATACCTTTGTTATACTGTCAATCATTCTATGTATTTAGTAATTCTATTTCCCTCAGTGGGAACAAACATTCTTGAGTAATATTATTGACAGGGCCATTCATGAGCAGTCAGGTTAGTGACACAAGTCACGGTGAACATATTATTTGTATATGTATAAATGGTAGCTATAGAAGTATGGAGACCAATGTATCTTGTGGACTAATAAAGTATTATAATGTATTGTATTGCTTCGAAATTCGGACTATTTTTCTTTAACTTAGTGTTGTGTAGCGATATGACCACAAAGTAATCGTAGCGTTCCTTCTTTTTCACTAGTCACGTAGTTTTGGATAGACTGATTTCCATTTCCAAATTCTAAGCAGCATAATATTTTATTCAATAGTGACGAGAATATAATCAAAATGTGCCTATTTCTTTGATTTTCTTATTCGAATAAAGCCACAAAAACTGCTACAAACCATTCAATTAGAATAATCAGATTCTATTCAAATAAAGCGTCAACCGCGACAAGCCTGTTCTATTTGTCACCATCGATGTAGTGCGGAAATATTTTATAATATGGCCGGGTATTTTTAACTATTTAACCTTATCATCGACATGGTTGGTTGTAGATGACGAACGAAAAATAGGCTATTTAGCCAACGTCGAGCATAGCCGACCAGAAAACGTCATAGAGTATATTTGGTTTGTCGGCTATAGACGATCATGGCGGTCAAAGGTTTAAATTGATTGATGACATAGAACAATGTAATCAACAAACACCCTAAACAATGCAACGCCTAACATCATCCCTTTCTGATTACAGTACGGGTTCACGTTAGACCGGACAATAAACAAAGCAATAAGTCCGTACTTAGCACAGTCTAACTCCGCAACGTGTTACCTCAAGGAAAGTGATACCAGCATACTGTCGCCGCAGCATCCTGCAATCGTCTTCCTGAAGATGGACTTCAAGAATCTCAGGTCTGTATATCATCATCACCAGCCCCTTCCTTCCAACTTTTCCCATAGGTTAGGCCTCGAAAGGCAACTATAGAATAACTTCCGAGCAGCCTATATAGTCTTGGATTCAATTTGCATTAAAAAGTAGCGACATGTTCATACAAGTAATGCCAAAAAACAATTTAAGCCCATATGTTATTCGTTTTTTAAAATAGGTTATCAATTTAGAAAAGTTATATTGGGCTACCTAATTTCTTTTGACTTGATAGCTAACCAAGGATTCGCAGGATCGTAAATATAATGTGATGATATGTCAAAATTCAAGTTATAATTCGTATTCGGTCTTTTGTCAGAAATAGAATATTGTTTGAATAAATGCGTATTACGTACTTATATTCAACAAGGCCTTTTTTCTGATCACCGATTAGATCTGTATCTTATTGATTTGACCCTGTCCTGAAGTAATTAGGGGTCGGGCATATGCTACTTTCCCACCATCTTATATCGATATATGTATATGTAGACATCTAGAAAAACTGTTTTCCTTTTTTATGTAGTAATTTCGAAATCTCGAGGTATCCTTACCTTTCAGCAACAATTAGGTACATTTATTAACCGTGCAATCATGGTAATAGAATAACAATAGAAGAATAATAGGTCCGCGAACGGTGTTCGGTTGGGGCTTGATGAATTAATTCATGTTCTGATAATAAATAGCGAGTGGCGTTTAGAATTCTTTGGTCATATCAGTCCTTAGCACCAAGCTATTTCTATTGTGTTCAGAGCACAACTGTACAAACATTCACTATGATTTGTAGATATATATCACACGTTTTATAGCCAGGTAGGACTATCAATAGCATTCAAGGTTAAATGAAGGTACGAAAATAAACCTTCATGCTATCAGCGTTTTTTATTTATACCTTTAGAACTTATAAAATTGAAACTAGTTTCACAACCGTGTTGATAATATTTTCAATATATTACAACAGCAATAAATTACTATATACAATAGTAATTTATTAACATCCTAAAATCCTAGGGGCCGGAACGTCCTTTCTTAGTAATACAAGAAGAACCGTTTAATCGATTTTGTATAAACTTCACATAAACCATGTACTAAATAGTCCTAACAAATACTAAACATTTGTTTTGGGTAGGTGAGTCCGTTCTTGAGTCATAAGCTTTTTATATTTATAAAAGATGAATTAAATATTAATATCTAAATCCACTCATTTTGAATAAGGTATTTATTTACTTGTAACAAACAATAAATATATTTGAATTTGCTATTTGAGAACAACAGAACGCCTTAACAGCATGTTTGCTGATATAGGGAGCATTTTTCATCAGCCGGTTGCGTGGAAGTCGCCACAGTATCCTGAATGCTATAGTTATTAAGGTTGAGTGTCCCATAATGTGGAAATTAGTACAGCGAATAAGGCTCTGTTTACTATTACTTATTAAATTTGTATTTTATTTTCATTCATAATGGATCTTAGTTATCTGAATAAATACTAACTTAACTATCTATATTACAAAAATGAATAGCAAAATGTGTTGGTAAGCGCATAACTCAAAAACGCCTGGACCAATTTTGCCTATTCTTATTTTGTTGTGTTGATAATTGTCAGGAGATGGTTCTTAAGAAGCAAGGGCAGGTTGCTAGTTATTAATAATATTTTTCGTTGTTACAGATTAAACGTGACATGCAAAGCTAAAATATTACATCTTTATGAGAATCGATCTTCAATACCAGACAGTAAGTAACAATACCTTCATTAAAAATATTTTTTACTTGTGCCTCTTTAAGTTTAACTTAGTGACAATTAGAATTATCTTGTTTCCTTAATGAAAAAGACATTATTTCAAAGTATTAAACTAAAAAAAATACTAAAAACCAATCATACTTACTTAATTGACGATATACTTGATATTCGTATTTTTATTGTTAACTCAAGGCAAACGATACTATTTGACGTTAAAATATTATGACGTCACAACGTGCTATTTCATACAAGATTCATAGAAAATTATCGTTTATGAAATTTCGATAAAAGTACTGAATTTGACTTGCTGGAAACTACCCTATTGGGTCCCTAATACGAGTTCGCTTTATGTTAAGGCTTTCGAAATTTTTATGACGTTTAGCGTTCTAATTGACCTTCTCCAAGTAAATCAACCTCGTCTCGGTGGCCCAGAGGTTAAGGCACCCGCTTCTCCTCACCCGGTGCGGGTTCGAAACCTGACAAGTGCTTACCAATGTGACTTTTTTCAAATTATATGTATGTACTTTATATGATTATTTAGATATCACTGACTAACCGTAAAGGAAAACATCGTGGGGTAACCTGGACTCATAATTTATAAAGCGACGAAGTGTGAAGTTTCACTGTTTAGTTCTAAGATCTTTCTGTACCATGCTTCCTGCAAATAAATGAATTCTATTCTATTAAGGGATGAGACCTTTGCTAAGCAGTGGACACTTATAGGCTGATGATAATGTGAAGTTAATCAAAAAATCAGAGAGCTAAACGCCGTTACTATCGCCTTAACACAAAGTGAATTCGCACTACGCACGCAGATTTTAGAGTTCAATCTGTTTTATATTTGTTGTAGAAATTGCGTTTCAAGAACATTTCATGTTCGATAGATTACTATCCCAAAATAACTTTGATTTGTTTCCTTCCAGCTATATCCACTGAGGAAAAATGTTCCTACACCATGTTGCCGATTACGAAGGAGACAAGAAACGGCTTCGACTACTATAATACTAGCGTGAGTATGATTTTATTTACCGTCTGATTATAAATACAAATATTATATAATTTACTAGCTACTCTCGCGCTGTTTCACCCGTTGCTTGGCTCCATTTAATCGTAGCGTGATGATTTATAGCATAAAGCACTTAGGAACATTGAAGCTATCTACCAGTGAAAGAATTTTGCCAGTACAAACTTAAAAATTTTACGTATGTATAAGTAAAAATTACAAATGGTTGGTACTACATGGCCGACGCGAATGCTTGGTTACCTATGAAAGCACTCATATAAAATGTTATCAACTGTACAGCAGGCTTGATTTTGTTTACGTTTGTCTTTTTGTGAATTACAATGAAGGAACGAATTCAGATTTCACGGCCTCATAGAATAATACATAGTTTTCATCCACTAGTGCATGGCAACCCGTACCCATAACCCTATCAATTTTTACCACATTTCACAATAGTCCTGGATCAACCGGGGATTGTCCTTGGGTGCACTTTTATATTGCATACAGGGATAATTGCCGGCTGATGTCCCATCACATTTATATTTAAATTGTTCAACGGGCCTCTGCGACTTGGCTTCGGCTCCTCGTATGCCTTCCAAAGGTCCGGGATCCTGTGATCCCGTGAAAGGAAACGAACAAACATAATAATAATATTTATTTGCCTTAAGTGTGGTCAGAAAACCGGCATAAAACAAACACAGCGTTGTTTCACTGTGTGAGTGAGGTAACCGGAGGCCCAATCTTACCCCGTCCCTAATCTCAAAATCTCCAAATCCCTTATCCCTAAAATATTGGCAACGCACTCGTAGGTCCTCCGTTTTTGCGGGTGTTAATTGGCGGCGCTGTTTGCTGACTTATCATATAAAAATAAAAGATTTTGCTTTTGGAATGCTTGGGGAAGCCTTGCTGCGGCGGGAACAAGCTGGCTCGACCATACCACGGTCTCACAGAAAACCAGTGTTTTTAATGGTATAGGTAGGCAAACGAGCAGACGGATTACCTGATGGTAAGCAATCAACGCTGCCCATGGAAACCCGCAACACCAAGGGAGTTACGAGTGCGTTGCCAACAGGATAAAGGTTTCGAATATTTTGGAAAGAGATGGAGGGAGGCGGAGGGATTGGGCCTCCGTTAACCCCACTCACACGGCTAAACAAAACGCTGTGGTTGTTTCATTTCGGTTTTCTGTGAGGCCGTGGTGTTACTCAGGTCGAGCCGACCCATTCGTGCCGAAGCTTGGCTCTCACACACTTGAAAACTGATGACACTGTGTGAAACAACACTGATGTTGTGTTTTGTTTTAAGGGCTTTTTACTTAACAAGAAGTGATCGGTTTGCTCGCTTTGACTAATTCTATGTATCTATGTATTGTTTCAGTTTGCGCTGTACGTGGCTACTGAAATGGAAGAAGGTCTTTACAATCTCTATTTTAACAATTGTCCGAACGCTGACTCCGGCACTGCGACCGCAGTCAACATGATTGTAAGTTCTATACTTGTAAACTAGCATCATTTAGTATTAGTTATTTATACCGTATTACACGCCTGTGCCATGGAAAATATCTTCAATTTTAGTCAGTATCATAATATAAGAGTAGCTTCCAATTAGTCGAATTAAATTTTTCGAAATGTTAAAAACGTCATTTTTCTGTTTTGAATTTATCTAATAAATAACAATATTAAGTGTATCGTAAAGTAAATGGTAATTTTAATAAAAACTAGCAACTCTTGCGCGGTTTCACTCGCTGCTCGGCTCTATTTGATTGTAGCGTAATGTTTTATAGCCTATATAACACTCAGGAACATTGCAGCTATCAATAAGTAAAAGAATTTTGGAAATTCCACCAGTAGTTCCAAATATTGTCCTACATACAAACCTACAAATTTTATAATATTAGTTCAAATAAATAAAATGAGAATAAATGGGTGATTATTTAAAAAAAAATATGGTTATAAGTTTAAATAAATTATTTTTGATTGAGAAAACTACCCATTTGTACGTGTTCAGAATGTATCAATACGTTTACAATATAGTTCTTTAGCGTTCGTACTTTTTCCCTTTAAATATATGTTCATAATATTGTACACAGGTTCACCATTGGATATATTCTCGAAAAATGTCAGGAGCTGACAAAGTTTTGTTAGCCTCATTTAAATTATAACTTTATGAAGGGGGTGTGTCATAGTATCTTATCGGGAGTGACAAATATACTTACGCCATATATACTATTGAGTAAATGATAAATAGGCGAAGGCAGAATGTAATAAAAAAAATTACGATACAATTTAATTATTATTTAAAACTGCTATCTCAGTTAGCATGCCAGAATTGGAGTATTCCGTCTCATGGCGTTCCATTACGATTGTCAACTCTATATATATGGAATGTAAAAGTTTATTTTTGTATTGCAGGTGGAAATATACGAGAGTAACGCTGGAAACTTTTTGTCGGCGGGAGAGATGCCACTACCAGCGTTATACAGCATGATGTCACTTATCTTCCTAACATGTGCCGCCCTCTGGACCTTCATTCTGCGAACTAGTCGACAGCCTGTCTACAGGATACACATTATTATGTGTGTCCTTGTCTATCTGAAGGCTCTCTCTCTTGCATTCCACGGCATTAACTACCATTTCATTCAGACGAAAGGTGAACATGTTACTGCTTGGGCGATCCTCTTCTATATCACGCATTTGTAAGTAATTATTATTAAAATATATACATATAACTTAGAAATTGTGTAGTGATTAATTAGTATTTACTTTCAATGTTTCTGGATTGAGTTTTTAGTTTGATTTAAAGTTCTTGCTGTGAATCAATGAGTACTATCACCATGTAATTAGTGTGCTCGTTTTTTGTCGTATAACACCAAAAAAGTATTACAGAAAATATCCAAATGAACTTCGCAATTAAATAATATACGGCGGCGATAAATATGGCATATACAGTAACATTTTTAATTAAAAAAAATCTGAAAAGACATTGAAAAAAAAAATGCTTCATGAAATGAGAATTCGATAATTTAAACTGGAAAAAATTGAATTATTTTTGTGCAATAGTTATCCGCTTTAGTGATCGGAAGGGAGTAACTCCTATCAATCTTTTCAGATTGAAAGGGGCGGTGCTGTTCGTGACTATTGTACTGGTGGGCACCGGGTGGAACTTCATCAAACACATTCTTTCTGACAGAGACAAGAAGCTCTTCATGATTGTGATACCTCTGCAGGTATATTGCAGTATTTATTTACCTGAATTGTATATTCTAGAACATTCGGTTTTCTAGTTTTTGGTTAAGTCTCTTACGTGAGCCGAACGCTTCGGCACACTAGCTTGCTGAGGCTAGCACATCTAAAGTAATATTACGGAACCCTTACAGAATATAATACCTGCGTTGTATTTCCAATCCTTCACCACCCATCCTTAATCCGCAATTCCCTATTCATAAATCCCTAATAAATAACCCTCAAGACTCTGCAACACACTTGTAGTAACTCCTTTGATATGACGAGTGTCCACGGGCGGCGCTGATTATTTACCATCAGGTAATCCGTCTGCTCGTTTGCCGAAGTCTATACTAATATTATAAAGCGGAAACATTTGTAAGTTTGTATGTAGGGGGTAATGTTTGGAACCGCTGGTCGGATTGCCAAAATTCTATCACTGATAGATAGCTTCAATATTCCTGAGTGCTATAGGCTATAAAACATCACGCTACGTTTAAATGGAGCCGGGCAGCGGGTGAAACCGCGCGAGAGTAGCTAGTATGCCATAATAAAAGACTGCTTAGTTTTAAGCGGCCATTAATAGTGGTACTTTTCTATCTGATACACCTGAACTGCTTGAACTGCAATCCCCAACCGTCTAATGAACGCGGAGATATTCGTCAATCCCTCACGTGTAGACGCTCATCTTATTAGGCTCAGTTGACTGACCCAGGCAATGTGGAATGCAAAAAGACCTAACATATATTAGGCATTTGTCTGCAGACTCCCAAAGCTTGCTTTTTGAATAATGAAATTATAAAATACTAGCTACTCTTGCACGTTTTCACTTGCTGCTCGCCTCCATTTGATTGTAGCGTGATGTTTTATAGCTTATAACACTCAAGAACATTGTAGCTATCTATTAGTGATAGAATTTTGGCAATCCGACTAGCGGTTCCAAATATTACCTCCTACATACAAACTTAAAAAGTCAAAAGTCAAAAATCATTTATTTCAATTAGACTACAGTAGGCACTTTTGAACGTCAAGCAAGCAAAATTAAAATTTTTACCTCTTTATAATATTAGTATAGATAGTACCTATATGATTTAGAAACGACTTTATTTTGTTATGCGAGGTAATGTTGAAATGTTTATTTTGTAGGTTCTAGCGAACGTAGCGGAGATAATTCTGGCAGAAAGCGAGGAAGGCGCCGCAGAGCATAACGCGTGGCGCGACATCTTCGTGCTAGTCGAGTTATTGTGCTGCTGGGCGATCATGTTCCCTGTCGTATGGTATGTACTCATTATATTTGTAATCTAGGACCTTTTTCCTAATTCCAATAGTAAATGCAAGAGAGTCATGCAGCTTGAATAAACCAGCTAAAAGAAAGTGATATTAATAAGGGTTTGTGATTCCAATCTTATAATTAGAAAGCCAGGGTGACCCTACGATGTTCTGCAATAAATATAAGTTTGAAATGTCACTTTGGTACTTGCCAGGTTTTAATTAGTCCCCTCCTTAAACGTTGAGTCTTCAGGGCCATCATAGCCTGTACCGTTCCTTCATAGTTACTTTAGTCATACACTATATGAAACAGCTTAATATTCTCTGTTGATTCATAACAAAAAGTCAAAAATCATTTATTCCAATGAGACCCTTACAGGCACTTTTGAACGTCAAACATAATTTTGACTATATAGTGTCAGTCTGTCGGTCAGTCCTCTTAGTGAAGCTATTTGCTTATTCCAAAGTGTAAATTCCGATGGAGAAGAACAATCAAGAAACTCCATGGTTACTCTTTTTAAATTAAGTTTCATATTGCAGGTCAATACGTCACCTGCAGGATGCGTCAAGTACGGATGGCAAGGCGGCCATTAACCTTCGCAAACTGAAGTTGTTCCGACACTTCTACGTGATGGTCGTATGCTATATCTACTTCACGAGGATTGTCATATCCATACTGAATGTAAGTATGTTGTTCAACTTATTTGCTAGGCGATTTGTTTTTCAGTTACTTTGAAATTTAGCTACTGTCTGCCTGGTTGCTTGGTGATGCTAACCTCGTTCATTAAGCGAAGATGCGAAGGTATATGGGAGATATTGAGCCGGTAGGGGTCAGTAAGGGTAGTTAGCCGCCCGACTAGAACCAGGCCCGAGCGTACGGCGTGTAGCGTTGCGCGCGCCTCAAAGAGCTAATAGACCACTACAGACGGGGCCCTATAGAGCTGATGTTTAAACAGGGTTGCAGAGTAAGTTCAATGTATCACTACCGCCTCGGCCGAGTGCAGGATATAAGAACGGATGGATTTTTAGTCAGTAATAGTTTGACACTCCCTTCCCCTCACCTTAGCCAGGAGAAGGCATTTCATGATATTCCCCTCACAAAAAAGGGTCGTCTAAGGGAAAGAATATACCGAATACACAACTCTCAACCGACGAACATGTATGAAAAGATTGATAAATGAATATGAAGCGAAGAAAGTATGCAAGAGTCGTGTTAGTTAGTAGGAAAAGAGATCGAAGGGCACGGAATAGAAGTTGAAAAAGGGTGATTTTAAGTTAGTAAGAGTCTATGGTATATTGGTTTAGGTTAGGTTTAGGTTTAACTAAATGTAAACAACCTGGGAATATATTTTCATAATAAGGAAGTCGTTCGTCGTCGAAGATTATTTTAATGTAGTTTCTAGGTTAACATCGATTTTGGTTAATACCTGATTGTAAATATTTTTACATACAATTTTTAATCTACTTTAATATAAAACAAAAACAAAGTTTCGTTAATCACCTAATGCCCGGTTCCTATATTTAACGAATCGTCGTTGTATGACATTACGACCAAATGACATTACGAATAGTTATCTTGACCGTCTACTGACGGTTAAAATATTTATAGGAACACCACAGACACCATAGATCTCCATACAATTCGCTTACCGATATCCGTTAGTTGCAAACCGTCAGTAAGTTGCACGACGAGACGTTTATTATAGAAACGGTTTTAGCTTACGACTCGTATATAAAACTACTATTCGTAATTAAAACGGATCGTTTCTCAATTATAGGAACCGGGCGTAAATCCATAGATCATAACACTTCGTGTCGCCTCAACTAGGGCGGGCGAAGGTATTAGTTGATTTTTATCTAAGAAAGTCATTTTAGCTGCCTTTCTTCCTCAAAAACTAACGTAATAAAACAATTGATCTAAATAAGCTCACAATTTCAGATCACAGTGCCATTCCAATACGCGTGGATAGATGAAATGTTCCGAGAGATGGCGACACTAGCGTTCTTCGTCATGACCGGCTACAAGTTCAGGCCGGCCGCAGCCAACCCTTACTTTACGCCAACACACGTCGATGACGTGGAGCCACAAGTGTAAGTACAATAGTCTTTTAAGAATGCATATTAAGTAAATACAGGTACAAGGACCTTAAATGAAAATAACATGTACAGCTTAACAGCCTTTTTGAGGCGTTGCAAATATAACTATTTGATATTCTATAATATTCTATCTATAATATAAAAATGAATAGCAAAATTTGTTGGTAAGCGCGTAACTCAAAAACGCCTGGGCCAATTTTGCCACTTCTTATTTTGTTGTTTTTGTTAATGTCAGGAGGTTGTTATGAATTTATGATATATAAAAGAAAAGTTAAGGGGAAGCTCTGGAAATCGCAATCGGTTGGAATCCCGAGCGAAGCAGAGAGGCGAGCATCTAGTAAAAAAAATAAAAATGAAAAAGGGCGCAGTAGCTAAGTTACACGATGCTAAAAAGAGTATATCACATGTAATCGAACCATAAATAAAAAAAGCAATATGGCGCCGATTTTAAATGATTATCACAATTGGAACTGCCAATTGGGTAGTTTCCTAGGTCAAAAATAAATTAATTCGACGTTTCAATACAATAAAATATTGAAAAGTAAACTATACTTTTATTCATCGATCGATCGATACACTGAATTTTAGATATTTTTTAGCTAATTTTTAAGAAAAAAGTTTACTATTTGATGCAAAAAAACTATGACGTCAACTCGGTTTTTTGTACTAATTTCATAGAAAAGTATCTCTTTTTGACATTTGGATAAAAGTATTGAATTTGACTAGTAGAAACTACCGTATTATAGACATTTTGTATCATATCAACGGCATATCAATGTGGTAGTACTAAAATAAGGAATCCTCAATGTTCCCTCGGGAAGAGAGTTATCAGGATTTCACGTTATTACATAATTATAATTGTGTCATTAAAAGCCTACCAGTCACTAAAAACTAAACTAAATGTAATCTTCTTTATCTACAGACTCTCAGATATCGGGGTACTTGAAGGCGTCACGCGGATAGCGAATCGAGGCGACAGAAAACGGGAAGATCTACAGCCGTTAATGCAGGAAACCAATTACAATTCTGATTAGATGTAAGTCTTCTTTTATAGTAATTAACTGCAAGTGACGGCTTGCTTCAAGAAAAAACGTTAAAAAAACAAAACGAAATAAACTCGAAATCATTTGTTACTTATATCATGGTTCTATAGAATATTACATTTTACTTATTCCTATGGCACCCGTACTGTTATCGTATCGTAATATCAAATAAACATTTGTATATTATAATAATATATAAATATAAATTATTTTCTATTACAATCTAATTCAGTACTAGGTTACCTCTGCCTCAAGGTGAACTTAATATTCTCAAAATGTTAAAAAAACAAGAAATAAAAATAAATTGATTTCAAGTCTCATATTAATGTATATTATTATAGTTCATACTTACATATTATATTGATGACAAATGTTACGTATACCCTGTCTATTTGAATATGATGAAGAATATCAATGATGCGACGTTTTTGAAATGTCAATTTGTTATAAAAGGATGTTTTGTCCTTTATATTGTACTTGTAGAATATTTTCTAAGTTTATTCAATGTTGACCATCTGTTGAATACCTCACATCACATTAACTACCTGTAATAATCATGACAAAGTAATTTCAAGTAGGTTTGCATTATTGTGTTATTTTTTGGCCAAAATGGTTGACCTTTAACTGGGTTGTAAAGTCGGAGAATTTTTAATAGAATTCATTCGTTTTTCATATATTATCTGACAAATTCTCGAAGCTGGACTATCTAGTACTGTTATAATAAAGTAAAAAAATCATTCAATAATAACACTATGTAAATAAAGTTTCATAAATATTTGAAATATTAATGCAGTGATTTATAAAACTACTCCTCAAACTTAAATTCCTAGGTATTAAACCCGAACTTATACTTAAATGTATTTAATAACAATGTCCACTAAACTTACTTATATCAAATCATATTTTAATACATAATCGTGATACTTACACGTTCCTTGTTGAAGGTACAATCGTTATTTGTGTTAACACATTTCATAAAGAATGTTTTACTGACGGTATATGACGACTTACACATTCCCACTTCCCAGTATAGTAGGGGAACCTCGGTAGTTACTCGAGCGCGTCAGATTAACATATGGGGAATATTTAGTAACCTATTGAATATATCCATCATATACTTAATGTAAACAGAGGAGGAGGATAACAATATAAAAAAATAACTAAATTCAGTCGTTTTCATCAGATTAGGGGGGAAAAGGTAGACGTCATGTCAAAGAAAATGCGTTTAAAAATCTGCCGATTTCATCGTCTTTTACAACAGCAATAGAGTCCCGTTTCTATCCCCTTAGTTAGCCAACCCCACCATGCAATTCGGCAGATTCAAATATTTTACTGTCAGAAATACATGGAGAATATACATTATTAATATCTGTTACGCTCGTGCACTAAAACAAAAGTTACATCTCACAATTTTGGAAAACTATCATTCCCCCCTTCCCCCACCGGAGGAATGAAATGTCATTGAGACATTTTTTCTTTCTATCATCAAATCTTCAGAATCCATTTACTCCCTACGACGCTTGAGTAACTACAAATTTAGCATCCTGGGCTCCCCTACTAGTACACTTTGACCTCTGACATTAAGTGAAGATTATGTAAAGAGGGACACAACGACATTTTGTTGAGGGTGAAAAATCATATAAATTATTTCGCTTGCCTAATATGAGCCGAAAGGCAGTCAAACATCAAAACCATTTATTTATTTAGAAACGTCAAAATAGAACAGTCGTCTATCATTCTGCGCGTCAGTAAAGCTAGGTGTTCGTTCCAAATTGTAGATTCGAATGGAGAAGAACAAGAAAGAAACTGCATCGTCAGACTCTTAGGTCTCGTTTACGAAGACGCGGGGCGTTGCGCGGCGCGTATTACGTTGGTCGTACATTACAGCATGAATTCGTGTCAACGGCCGTGCAAACACAAACATATGAATATCACGAGCAATGTATGACGAACCGCACATCGCACCGAACAACGCTCCGCTTAAACGTAAACTAGGCCTTACTAACAAAACTCACCCCGTTTTTCTTTCGCTTCAGGCCGAGACCGCGATACCATATAGCGCTTAAGCCGCAGGGTCTTGTGAAGCGTCGAGCCGTTCGGTTGTACCACTAAATAATCAGCCACAATGACTACATATTAGGCTAACATGATCTAAAGCCTCGTTATCGCCATCTACTGGCCACAAAAATATCCTGATCAGCCGTCGTTGTACCTTCGACAAGGAAAACTAAATGCTAGTCCTTTTCTGATGGCATTTCTGTACATTAACAAGTGCAGTTAGCTGCAGAATAATAAGACTTTCAATGTTACTAATTTAATTTTAAGATTTACGAATTCTTTTTGTATACATTTAAGGAGGTATTTTTTTATTGAGTACATAAATCACGTATTACTAGAATCAAGACTTCTCTGTGTGGACGGATTCACTATGCATTTCCTTTATAAAACATGGCCTTTTTACATGGGACTTACAACTGCCGAGACACGGGTATTTAATTTTAAAGTGTTTCTATTCCTCCTCTCTTTCAGAAGTTAGTAAAAGTCGTGGTAAAATTATGTATATACTGTACGCGAGATGAAAGAGATAGATATAATTATGAAGAGAGAGGAAAAGTTCAATTCGACAAATATTAAAAAAAACATCTGGGCGCAAATAAAAGTTTTATATTTACGCATTACTTAAAATTTTCAAGTTTGGTTGTCTATCAATATGAAACTGAAGCTATTTGTTTTTACAATAGCTTTGTACATGCTTAAGATTCCGATATTCATACTGTTTTCAATGTCAATATTTTTTGTGTTTTTAAAATTAGACCACACAGATTGACAGATGTCAAATGCCAGACACATTGAACTGGCTTAAAGTAAAAGCGCCATAATGAAAGTATTAATGTACCTTACATATATAATTTATTTCCAGGCCTAAAGACAACTAAAGAATAATTCCGAAGCACATTTTCACCATTTCAAAGTACATTTAATAGACGTAAATTACATGTTATAAACATACTTTTTTAAATTTCATGTAGAATGTAAAAATTAGATAGAAAATATACCTAATAATATCGGTCCTAAGTCCCAAATACGTTCAGCATCGAAATATATTTTATCGGACATTCTGAAATATGGTCAATTTGAAAATGTTTTTGTAACAGTCTCTAATTTTTTGTTCCAGAAAGTTCCTAAAATGTTTTGATGCTGAGTGTATCAAAAATCTTTGTAATGTTAAAAAATAAGTCATTACACTTTAAGGCTATTGAAATGTCCTATTTGTTACTATCGGCTATATTAAATGGCATATCACGTGTCATTTTTTCAATTTTATATAAAACATAGTGATGTCTATAAAATTATTAATAATATTCATACATATACATAGGGATTATATAAATCTATTCTTCTTTATACTAAGCATATTATGAGGTTCCCCGAGTAACGTTATTTATTCCCTCACATATTTACAAATTAATAATACCGATTTTTTTAGATTAAATTGTATTTTTATTTTTTTATCGATAATGTGTTAGAAAATATTTAGATAAAACCTTTTTGTTTTTTTTTAGGTTGTGAAATAAGTTTGTATTTTTTCGAATTTTCCCATTTGTGACGATTGTTGACTGTTTGTAAATAAGTATCATGATGTAATGAATAGTTGTGGTAATACCTTTATTTTGTAGATATGGTGTAGTATATAGAGAATGTGAGATGTGGTCTCGAGAGACGTTTTAAATGACATGCGTATGTTTCCGTATTCAAGAGCTGGAACTATTTTTTTTATGTATATTCAAATATATAATTATATATAAATTGTTCCGTTATATAATTATATATGACTTTTTTTCTACTAAATTCCTAAATTAAATTTAACTTATTAAGTTCTTCATAATTACTCAACAATAACAGAACACTAAACTTTATAATACATTTTCGCTTAGTTATAAGAGATCTAGCCTTGCTTACTTGCCCTGTTCTCCTACAGTACTGCATCACATTCCAGGGGATCAATATAAATATAGGTTTACATAATTCCCTCTACTAATTATTCTTATCGTCTTGGCTTAAGACAGGAAAAATGTACGCATGTCGTTTCTTCGTCGCCATTTTGTTTAAGTTTATAATTGTTTCTCTTCACCCGGTTGTTTTATTGTCCAATCACTTTTATAATAATGGACCAAAGTAACATTCGCTAGACTTACGATTTAATTAGTTGTGAACTATTTACTCCTGTGTGAAGTGTATAATTCTCTTGTATTCTATGTCTGTCTCTTTAGATATATAATTTTAAGTTGCGTGTCGATGCGACTGCGGTGCGTGATTGTTAATCTGTGGTTTAATACCTGTCAAAATTGACAGTTTGACAATTTGTCGCTGGACGACATGGGAGTTTTGACAATCTTTGCTGGTTTAAAAAAGTTGTTATTTCAATGGATATATAGCCCAATTTGGTCATTTTGATAATATTATAACAAAATATTTATCCACTTCTGCTTTCTTGAAAACCCGCGGTCGCGTTGTTGTGAAGTAGTAGAAGATCCATCAAGATATTTTTGTTCGTAGATAGTCGAGAATACACAGATTATACACTTTCTAGATTAATCATTACCACTTTGTATAATAACAACTAAGTAGACGAAATTAAGCTGTGTGCGCTTCTCTAAGAATCCTATTTCGAATATAAAACGCCTCAAAGTTATGAAGGAATGTTTCAAGATATTGTGCCTGGAGAGTCGTTGATGAAAAAATGACAATTTAAGATTGTAAATCTTCATTCCGGTCTACATAAATGAGGTTTTCTACTTTTTTGGCGCTTTGTAAACTAATATTTGATGTAAATTTACAATAATGGCGTAAGTGAACTTAATAATGTGCTAGTATTGTACCAAATTGCAATAATAAATACAATAATTATTTATAATTAGTTTAAGCGCTCAACGCATGTTGCTTAGTTAGGCCCTTGTTTCGTCAATACTTATTTTGTAGAATATCAGCAAAACGATTTAGATGAACTTGCGTTCTGTATCATAAATTGTACAAAATAAACTGTCATAAAATTACGAATATCGGATTGTTTTATTTGTGTGTTTAATATTTATCATATATAATTATTTTGATTATATATATATCATATACCTATTGTCTACGCAAGAACGCCTACTCAAAAACGTATAGCAGCAAGTCGTCTAGCTACGTATTATTGCAGAACATATTATTTTATTTTAACTTCCTTTTACCCACATGTTTTATTTTATTAATAAATTCACTTTTTACATTTCGTTGGATCGAGAAGTTTTCTTTATCATCTTCTCCCGAAAAATAATACCCTGGAGCAATTCAAAACATGGTCCGTCGAGCCTGGATATGGAGTTTTGAAGAATATTACTCCGTTCAGTTTATTTATTATTGAATTGCAAAGGAAGTGTTGGATTGAAGCTTGAAATCCCAAAATTAAAACCAATGCACGGTGTGGCCGGTCAAGTATTGCGTCATTCAGAAGACATTGGAATTTTCCGTGGTCTGGAGACTAATAGCTACAAAGAGGCATTTATTTATTTAAATTAGTCCACCCAACACTCTTTTATCAGGTATTATTAGTGTAATTTATCCCTTCGTATATCAGGTTAGTACCAAAAAATACTCATTGTTAACTTTCTTTGTCTGTGAGTGATGAAATATTGTTATAATTATCAACTGATCAGTGTCTTATGTTAATTTCCATTATTTATACATTGTTAAAGAGTAGTTCGAAGTAACTGCATTATTTTGCCCTTCAATGTACTTATAATGATCCACTGTAACAGTTATGTAATCACATTAAGTAAGCACAGGTAGACATTGAATTTGCATACATTATTTCATTGTTAATTACAATTATTTGCTACTAAATAACCAGTATACGTATTGTTCATTGGAATGAAGTCCGCAAGTTGAGTGATTGTAAATAATTGTTAGGATTTATGATTTTACAGGTTACATAATTTTCAATATAATCTAAACGTCACTGTAGCCTTTAACTTGTATACGTTCCAGGTTGATGACACCAGTTAACGCAATGCCCGAGGATAAGGAACTTATTCGGAAACGTGCGAGTTTTAAGGGAAAGGTTACTGTATTTGTGAACTATTTAAATACTTTGGAACCAGATTCTTTAAGCCCCACCGAGGTAAGCGAATTGCAGTTTCGTTTTATAAAACTTGAGGCGTTATATGCCCAATATGATGAGGTGCAATTATTACTGGAATGTACTACTGATAACTTGGACAGTCAATTAGTGGAACGTAGTGAGTTTGAATCTCTTTACTATAAAACCTTAGCTCAAGCTCAAAAAATACTGGATAGTAATATAAAGAAAAGAGATTTTATCGAAAGTGATAATGGAAGATCGCATTCAAATAGTCATCATGGTTTTGTTAAATTACCGACTATTCAATTACCGAAATTCAGTGGCTCCTATACTAATTGGTTGGAGTTTCACGACACATTCGTAAGTCTTATTCATTCGAACGATGATATGAACGAAATAAATAAATTTCATTATTTGAGGTCGTCTCTAGAAGGTTCTGCTGCTGTGGTGATTAACTCCATTCAATTTTCTGCTGCCAATTATTCGGTGGCTTGGAAACTCCTCTGCGAGCGGTTTGATAATAAACACCTACTTGTTCAACATCATATTTCAGCCTTATTTCAAATCGATAATCTACAAAAAGAGTCTGCAGTAAATTTAAAAGCTTTACTTGATACCATTAACAAAAATTTACGTGCCCTTGAATCTCTAGGGGAACCTGTTTCGCACTGGGATACTTTACTCATTTATATTATAACAAATAAGTTCGACAGTAAAACTTATCGCGAGTGGGAAGAGTATAAAGGCTGTCTTTCTAGAGATTCTAAAATCACCTTTAAATTGTTCATTACTTTCATTAAAAACCGTGCGGAAATCTTGGAAACGTTGGAGTTATCAACGTCTAATAAACACTCAAATCCCGGTAAACATTCTAAACATGTTAGAACAATGTTGGCACAGGATTCTATTAAATCAAATACATATGATAATCATAAACAAGACAATGGCTCCTCTAACAAACCTAAAAATTGTGTCATGTGTAACGGTGATCATAAGCTAAGCAGTTGTACTCAGTTTTTGTCATTAAACAATGAATCTCGTTTGAAATTATTACCTAAATATAAGGTTTGTTATAATTGTTTTAACCATGGACATTATGCAAACAGCTGTAAAAGGTTTGGTTGTAAAATATGCCGCCGCAAGCATAACACTTTGGTTCATGTTGACATTGTTTCCAAGCTCTCAAAGTCGGATCAAACTGGTGCTTCTTCTAGCAGTGATAACACTAATGATAGTGTGAACGTCTCCACTCAGTCAGCTGTTGGTACTGGCTTGTCACTCTCGGCGAGTGTGGAACAAGGTGACGTATTATTGGCCACTGCGTTAGTCAAGATCATGGGGATAAATGGTAAGCAATATGTTGTTCGTGCTGTACTTGATAGTGGCAGCACATCATGTCTCATGACAGAAAGACTGTTCCACCAATTAGGTATAGTAGCTAAACCGGTGAATGATTCTATTTTAGGCATAAACAATTCATCATCATTCATCAATAAGTTGTGTTATGTATCAATAAGATCTTTAAAAAATAATTTTAGTGTTGGAGTCAATTGTTTCATTATTCCTACAATTACAGATAAGGTGCCGAGTACACCTGTTAACTTGTCAAAAATAAAAATTCCTTCTGATATTTGTCTCGCTGATCCCAACTTTCACTCACCGGCTCCTGTCGATATGTTGCTCGGGGCTGACATCTTTTGGGACTTATTGGGTTCACGACGAATTAAACTTGGTGATCAACAACCAATACTTTGTGAAACTAAATTAGGCTGGTTAGTTTCTGGTCCTATTAAGTGTAATACTTCCTCTAAAGTTGTGAAATGTAATTTCATAAAAGTAAATACAGATTGCGATGAAAAATTAAATCTTAGTATTGATCAACAACTTACAAAGTTTTGGCAACTTGAAGAAGTGTATACTTCGTCACCGTATTCTTTAGAAGAGAAGCTATGCGAGGAACATTTCATCAAAAACACTGTTCGTTTGGAAAACGGTCAATTCTGTGTTAGAATCCCACTAAAAGGTTCCCCTGACCAATTAGGTGAATCATTGACAAGAGCTAAACAATGTTTTTCTTCTTTAGAACGTAGATTTAAAACTAAAACGCCGTTTAGTGCAATGTATAAAGAATTTATGTTGGAATATGAAACTTTAGGCCATATGTCTAAATGTAAATTGATTGATGATCGCGCGTGTTACATCCCACATCACGGAATTTTACGAGAAAGCAGCACCACCACAAAATTAAGAGTGGTGTTTAATGCAAGTAGTTTAACCACCACTGGTACTTCAATTAATAACATTCAAATGGTCGGACCCGTAGTACAGGATGATCTTTTAACAATCCTGTTGCGTTTTAGACAACATGCTTACGTTCTGGCTGCCGATGTCGAAAAAATGTACCGGCAGGTGGTGGTTCATCCCAATGATAGATATCTTCAGCAAATTATTTGGCGTGATAACCCTTTGTCTCCGTTACAAGCTTACAAACTCAACACCGTCACTTACGGCACAGCCAGCGCTCCTTACCTAGCAACTCGGTGTCTTCGACAGCTAGGCTTAGATTTGGAGTCCATTGATAAGAGGGTTGCCGAGGTCATACTACACGATTTTTATGTGGATGACCTCTTGACGGGAGGAGACGACCTCGAAGAGGTCAAAGTGTTACGTCATAAAATAACTTCAACTCTTGCTTC